GAAAACGCAACATTGGATATTTGGGATGAAGCCTTGATTTTCTACCGAAATATTCCCACGGACGACAGCGGAATAATAAGCGCTCAGCCCTGGTTGCGATCGGAAACTTTGTTCCATTCAAGAGCTCTTAAAGCTTCTTTGGTGCCATCGGCAGGACTTTTTTGATAAAATCATTGTTTAAGCCATGATAACGACCGCGCGTCATCTCGTACAACATATGTCATGGTGATGTGCAGGACTGCTCTCAAGAAAAGCGCAAACACCTAACAACCGTAGAGATCGGCTCCATCACCCTCCGTCATGTACCCCAGTTTACGAGCATTTCCGCGTCACTTGCGTCGCCTCTGACTGGTGCCGCGGTGACTGGCCCGAGTCGCCGCACCGCTGTGGTGGCGGCCGCGCAGTCTTGCAGACATGTCCGCGGTTCAGTCTGCCGCCGGCAAATAAGCGCTTAGCCACACGCGCATCACACTGTGCGCCGCCCCGGCCGGATGTCCGGCCTGAGGTTATCCGCGTCCGGTTCGGGGACACCTGGTGTCCGGTACAAGAACACCCTTTGTCCCGTCCGAGCACACACGTGCGTCAGGTCCGGGGACACTTTTTTCTTCGCGCAAGGCTTGATGAAGCGTCAGTGAGGGCGGCGGCTACATTAGAGGTCACATCAGAGGTCACATCAGCCCCTCACGCCATGCATCTGGCCCCAGGATGCCCTGTGTCCGGTTCGCGACGGCAGGAATGCGGCGCGAGCTTGCGGCCACCACTATCGGTCACCACTATCAACCTACGCAGTCAGTTTTCAGACTCGGACGCCGTTTTAGCGACGGGGTGAGAATTCCTTGGAACTCACGGTTTGGTCTTCGTTACCTAGAACGTTGGCTGCTAAACCTGCCTGTGTCAATAAATACACGGGGTCTAGCTGACTGCTGCTTGCCAAGGCATAACAAGACATTTTTCTTCTCTAAAACTGCGAGTTCTTCTCCATTCAAATTCTCATTGACACCGGAACTGAGGCGCATTTGAGTACTAACCACAACCCAAGCAGTCTTTCAAAGGCACCTGAAAGCCTTGATCAATAGCAATCAACATCATCTGAGCTTTATCGCTGGTGGCTGCCCCTCACTGTACGGTACGTCACAGTGAGGCCAGCATCCCCGTTGTCGTGTACAGCGTGCGTGGCTAATCACACGATCCGTCGTGTGACGCCAGTCGGTGTGACGGTCACGCGGACCGGTCACCTGCGTGACGGCCACTAGAGCCACGCGCCACGTGACCCGCGGCTAGCCGCACGCGCGTCCGGACTCCTTGTCTTGTGACGTCACAATTTGCTGACTAGGGACGCATCGGCCACTGTGCTTCTAGAGGGGACGGTGTGACAGGCCCCGTCAGGAAAGGGATGGACCACACAAGCTGCCAGTCTACCGCAGAGACTCTGTCACACAGATGTAACATCCTCCGCCAGGCGAGGAAAGGACGGTGTGACAGCCTCCGTCAGGCAAGGAAAGGACCACACCGGCTGCAAGTCTACCACAGAGACTCAGACTACACGGGGACGGTGTGACAGCCTCCGTCAGGCAGGGGAAGGACCACACCGGCTGCAATCTACCACAGAGACTCAGACTACACGGGGACGGTGTGACAGCCTCCGTCAGGCAGCGGAACGACCATACCGGCTACCAGTCTACCACAGAGATTCAGGCTACACGGGGACGGCGTAACAGCTTCCGTCAAGCACGGGAAGGACCACACCAGCTGCCAGTCCACCACAGAGACTCAGGCTACATGGCTCAGTCACCCACCGGATCTAGGGACGTGTCACGGCGACCACAGCTACAAGAAAAAAATGTTTGGTGCTAAAACAAGCGTACGTCACAAAGGCAGGTTTCGAGGTGCGCACGTGCTATCCGTCGGCATGCTGCGATCTCGCAGACCGAGCCCGTACGTTAGCCCGGGTTGTCGCTTGAACGCGCCTCTGGCGCCAGACATGGCCGGAAGCAAGGGCGTTTGTCCAAACCCAAGGTGCCTGAGCAAGCACAAAGGCCTGGTGATGTCAGTGGTTTTATATTCATGTGTTTCTATTGACGCTCGAGCCCCGAGTCGAAACGGCCCGATTAGTGTGACGCCGATCAGTCGTTGTCAAGGGCAGTGCCGAGAGTGAAGAGTGCATTTGATCCTCGAAATGTTTTGCCTCAACGATGGTCGCAATCCGTTTCATGACAAGGTCGGCATCCATGCATAATCGCCAATGTTTCAAAATAGACAGAGGGGAGCATGGGAGCACGGCTTCGTACCTCGTTTGTTGACCTGAAGGTGTGAATAACTATTATTTCAAAAAGCTGCTTTCTGGCTCCTTCCTTGGACTGTTTTCTACTAAACCAGCAAAATATGATTCAGTAGTTGATCGCTGCATGCTGTGATCAATTTGTATCACTTGCATTGGCTAAATTAGTTTGTGGACAAAATGCGAAGCGAATCTGCCGATCATCCATCAAGTCAGGCCGGCACCTAAACACCTGCGCACAACCGAAGCGCTTCCGCATGGTGCGACCCGCGGAACAAACTCACGTTTTTGTCAGGTGTACCTCTTGTATGGGACAAGGCCACTGCGCCGTCACTTCCCGTGCTAACTGTGCGGGCACGTGGAGGTTACTTTTAAACGTCCGGGCGAACTCGGGACGAGCATGGCGCCACGCATTGAGTGCTACATGTGTTTGTGTGTCTGGCGGGAGAGGGGGAGGGGGGGAATGAATGTCGATAAGCATGTTGTAGTCAGCTCATTTGTAAACTACGGGGTTCCATTTCAGATAATGAGTTGATAGGAAAGACAATGATCGGTTCAAGCTTCGCTGAAAGAAACTTTCGACAGCAGTAGGTCAAATGAATGACTCGATCAAACCAAACGATGAAACGGTGCGATATGCGTTGGATACGGATGGAAAAGAAACAGATAGGAAATGGAAGACAGGAGAGTGGGTAAAACAGCCAGAGAGAGAAAGAGAAAGAGAAAGAGAAAGAGAAAGAGAAGAGAAGAGAAGAGAGAGAGAGAGAGAGAGAGAGAGAGAGAGAGAGAGAGAGAGAGAGAGAGAGAGAGAGAGAGAGAGAGAGAGAGAGAGAGAGAGAGAGAGAGAGAGAGAGAGAGAGAGAGAGAGAGAGAGAGAGAGAGAGAGAGAGAGAGAGAGAGAGAAGTAGTGATCCTTTTAGGAAGTACGGTGCGCAGATACGGAGGGGCATCGCATGGCCACCGGTGCTCCTCCTACTCCCGCCATGTTGTCATCACCGCACCTCTTCCCGCTGAGTCAGGCAGGTGCGCCGGCGGAAGCCTGAGGAGGTCCCACCTCCACACTGGGGCGCCGTGTTACACTTCAGGTCGCGTGAGTCACGGTCCCGCCCCATCCTCTCCAGGCTGTCGTGCGTTCTGACAGAGCAGGGCTGCAGGCCCGAGCAGGGTGGGAGAGGTCGGCTCCGGATTCGGAGCACTGCATCCAAGCCAGTGCGTAGGCTATGGCGCACCCGATGCATTGCTGAATGCCACTCAGCGGTAGTGCCTCCTCTGATATATGCAGAGCCGTTTTTCAGATTAGAATGACCGCCGTGCCGCTCTTGCTGACTGTTTCAGCCAGCTCGCTACCTTATCAAACAGCAGGGGCCCGCCCAAGGTCCAAACACACGCCGATGCTGCCCACGCGGGTTAAATATATTACAAGCCGCCACGCATGGCGTCTTCACCACCATGTGGTCTGTCTACGGTCGCCTCTACACTGCAGTACCACGTGTTTCTATATTGCAGCAACACGTGTCTCTACACCGCAGCATCCTATGTCTCTATATTGCAGCACCCTATGTCTCTACACTGCAGCACCCTTCGCCTGTACGCTACAGTACCCTGACCTTCCACACTGCAGCACACTGTGTCTTTACACCGCCGCAACCCGCGCCTCTATACTGCAGTACCCTGCGCCTCTATACTGCAGTACCCTGCGCCTCTATACTGCAGCACCCTGCGCCTCTATACTGCAGTACCCTGCGCCTCTATACAGCAGCACCCTGCGCCTCTATACTGCAGTACCCTGCGCCTCTATACAGCAGCACCCTGCGCCTCTATACTGCAGCACCCTGCGCCTCTATACTGCAGTACCCTGCGCCTCTATACTGCAGTACCCTGCGCCTCTATACTGCAGCACCCTGTGTCTCTACAACGCGGCAACCTGTGTCTCTACACTGCAGTGTCTTGTGCCTCTGCGCTGCAGCACTCTGTGTCTGTACACTGTAGCACCCTGCGCCTCTGCGCTGCAGCACCCAGCGTCTCTACGCTGCAGCGCCCTGCGCCTCTATACTGCAACAACCTGTGCCTCTATACTGCAACACCCTGTGTCTCCACAACGCGGCAACACGTGTCTCCACACTGCAGTGTCCTGTGCCTCTAGACAGCAGCACCCTGCGTCTCTACGCTGCAGCACCCTGTGCCTTTATACTGCAGCACTCTGTGCCTCTAGACAGCAGCACTGCGTCTCTACGCTGCTGCACCCTGCGCCTTTATACTGCAGCACCCTGTGCCTCTAGACAGCAGCACCCTGTGCCTCTAGACAGCAGCACCCTGTGCCTCTAGACAGCAGCACCCTGTGCCTCTAGACAGCAGCACCCTGTGCCTCTAGACAGCAGCACCCTGTGCCTCTAGACAGCAGCACCCTGCTTCGGCATTCCGGGACTCAATTTATTCTCCGCGTCGAGCCGCCGGTGCCGTCGACCAATCATCGCCCGCCGCCCAGCCGTCCTGCCGCCCGCAGTCTGCTGCGTGGAGAGCGCCCGGCCGGCTGGCATTGGTCTGGCACGCCGACATTGACCTGGTGACGAAGATATGCGGCCACCTCCGCGCAGGAGAAACTGCCGTGCGGAGCCCAGCGGTTTTCACTTGGGCTCATTTAACGTTCATTAACATGAAGTCGGGATGAATGTGGAATGAATTAAAGGCCCGAGGTCAAGATGGGGTGCGAGGGAGCGAGGACATGGGAAAGCGCGCTGACAACACGCTAGATCAGGAGCGCATGACTGGGAGTAAGGTAAACAATAACTGTTAATGAGATATTTTATTAATATTTCACCTGTAGCCGCATGCTACGAAGCTGTCGGATTTTTGGTCACTCGAAGTGTTTTGTAGCTGTTGAGTCTTACGGTAGTTTCTATCAAACTATATGCTTATCACATAAGTGGCGTAATTTCATCAACATTTCAGTAGCGCGTGTATGTCATAACCCGCGACAAAGTTCGTTTAAGTCTTGCCTCATAGATTGAAGATTTTGCAATGCAGAGACATTTAGCATGATCTCTTCTGAGACCATCAGCAAGGATGTTCTTATTCAAAGTCATTTCAATCGATTAGCACTTCCACGCAGTCGGTATGTTGGTATCTGCGTACAGCATTTGCTTCCCCGCTTTCGTGGCGGGTTTTGATCGATAGCTCCGAGCAGTGCTATGGACGGGGCTCATCTGTAAGGTGGCTTCAAGGACACATTGGACGTGATCTTGCAAAGAACTCAACATCCACGCTATTTTGTAAACTATGCCCACAGCATGCAGCGCATGCCCGCCCTCTGCCTGTCATGTTGACTGGACGCAGCCGTCTTCAAAGTGCGCAGCGGCTCTCAGACCACTGTGATCCATCCTCAAGTAGCGCGGCGCCACCCTCAAAGTGTGCCGCCGCAGCTTCCCAGAACGTTACGATCCGGGCGCGCCGTCGTGACGCACGCGCCACGACCGTGGGCGGCGCGTGACGCGGCGTGACGTACCTGTCACGCTTCCGTCCGTGCCGGCAGTCGGGAAATTCGGGCTGGGCGGCGGTTTGGTGAGTCTCAGTCAGGGAGCGCGTGCCGGTGCGCCGCTCCGGAGCTGCAGTGACTCAGGCAGACCACGCGCGAGAGGGGAGGGGGGGGGGGGGCGCCGCCGGCAGTGACAGGACGATGCGCCGAACCAACCGGACACGTTTTACCAGTGTTGGGAAACGAACGCGCCAGCGTTGGCTAAACAACGTCATCCCCTTACCGCGGTGTGGCTGTCGCAAGCCATTTCGCCGCGGAGTCAAAAATTAGGCAGCGCTCTCCGCCGCCAGGTGTCATTGGGCTGACATTGCGGCCGGATGTCGGCGGGCCGCACGGGGCGGAAGCCATCTGAGCCGGCAGCCACGGCGCCGGGCCTTCGCCGCCGTCAAATCTGTCTCGCCTCATCCGCATGCGCGCCGCCCGGCGAGGCTGGACGTATAAGGCGCAGCCGCCATCACAAAAGAGCGCTCTTGCAACGCCACAAGCCAGCGACGAAGGCCACGACACGGGGGGTTCTCGATTCTGGAGGCCAGTACATCATGAGTGTGTCGGATTGCTGATGTTGCTGGTGGTTATGATTTGACGTCAGTTTTGTGCAAAAGTATAGGATTTGCACGTAGGTGACAAAGAGGCATGGCAAGCCCGGCAGTGATCATACAATTGTTACCAGAACATGAGGGTTTTGGTATGTCTTCGTACAGAAGCGCTCATTCTGACTGTCTTGCTACAATAACTTCTCCCAGCTTTGTTCAGGCAGGCGGTGAACGTGAACAAAGCACGTGCAAGTCAACTACGCAAGATGTTTGCCCATTGCGGTACCGATAACATGGAAGTCACCGACACAAAGAAACCAATGACTGACGCGCGTGAGCACCAATCGTCTTTGCAACAGTCGTTGGGCGCAATCATCAAAGCGTGGTCCCAAACTTTGACAAAGCATCGATGAAACAACACTGATGCGTTATTCAACCGCATGCAAGTCAGTCCAGGCAGTCTCAAAAGAGAAGAATGTGGGCGCGGGATTGGCTGCGGTATCATTCACGAAAAATAACTCAATTGCGTGTTTTTATTGCCGATAATATTGTTCCGGGGAGCATTGCCGCACGCTCCTTATCAGCAGCCTCCGCCCGTGCATGCGCGCTGCCAGCAGTCCTCCGGTATTTGCAGTCGGCGCGTGAAAGGCCTGCTGCCCGCTCGGCCCTGCCTTCCGGTCACGGCAGCCGCAGAAATGCGGCCGCCGCCGTGCCTTACACCTGTGACGTAATCAAACGAGTCCGCCAACCCGCTTCAGGTCGTGAGTCATCGCGCTGAGGCAACCAGTCGATGATGAAAGTGTTTGGTGTTTACCAACAGGCCTTTAAAGGGTGCGTGGTGGGCCGTAATGAGCATTCCTAAAGGACGGCGCTCTGTGGTGTCCATTGCAACGGAGATTACAGATCACTGTCCTTTGCGCTGAACGCTGCTCAATGCATTTGGCTGACAAAAGATGGTTCGGTGCATTATTACTGGAGTGATTGGACGACTCAAGGGTTTTAAGGTGCAGCTGTTTTTGTTCAATTACACGCGGGCCTAGATGTCTCGCCACTGTCAGCGTGCGAGTGAATGTGGGCTGCTTTCATACATTTCTTAGTGAATAGCTATTTCGGAACATTTCTACAAACATGAAAAATCCATACATTTCAGTGCGCGCGCGAATGTTTGAAATTGTTTTTGCTGGCAGTGCCGGGTAAGTGCACACTTAATATAACGATTGAAATGATCCAAGGAGATGTCAGGCGTTTGAGTACAGTTTGCCACAGCGATGCTTCCTTGCATAAGCTCATCGCCACACCTCTTGAACCGTGCATCTCTGTATGCCAGTTAAATGCTTCCCTTTGCTGGTCGGTGAAACATACACGAGACCATACAATCGCACTTCCCGACAACGAATCGCATTTCGCAATGGCATTTCCCTCACGTGGCTTTTGAAATGCTAAAATATACGTGAGACTCCGCGGCCGACCTTTGAGCCGGCAAAGGAACGTGAGAGCCTAGCTACCCCGGTCCCACCCGAGCTCAAGGCCACGCCCGGCCATGGAGTGTGGGTACGCGGTACGGCGGCGGTGCAGGACCGCGAGAGCCTGGTCACGGCCGCCATCGCCTGGCACTCCGCCGCCGGCGGCCGGCTCGCCCCTGACTGGGTAGCCAGCCGGCCGGGCGCGCCGGGCGCTCCCACACCCAGCGCCGCCGCGCCACCGCCACCGCCGCTGACTGGCGTGCGCGCCTGGGGCGTGACCCGCCGTGACCTGCGGCCGCCGGCGGCGCCGCTGCGTGTCGTCGGTCTCACGGCGTAATCGTAGGACCGCGACCCGGCGCCGGCGCGTGCGCCCGCCGTCCGTTCGCTGCCTCACGCCCCACTTGGACGGAGGCCGCGCCGCCGGCTACCAAGTGGTCCGCGATAGCGCCCGCCTGGAGGTCTCAGGAGCTCTCCGTGTGACTCCGTCTCCGAACAGCCCCCTCCGTCTGGTAGGCGCGAATGGTTGTGCAGAATGGTGAGAGCATGTTATGCCTGCAGGGCGCTGTACCGCTGCACAGATGGCGTCTCGTTGTTCAGTTGAGGCACTTTCGCGTCACGTGTACCTTTGCACGAAGTAATTTTCCGTAAATGAAAGGCAATTTTTACAGCAACGGACAGGTAATGCGAGGCTGTCCGTCCAAAAACGTAGTCGGAGTGTTTGGGAAAGGTAAGTACTAAGGAAAGGGACAGGGAGATAGAAAAATGAGGAACGATAATCCTAATGAATGTTTACTCTCCTGTGTATGTAACAGAGGATCATTTCTGACACAAACAACCAATCAACTTCCAATACTTCGGCCCGCGTAGGATGCTCGTCACAGCTTCTCAACGAGCCATACACCCGCTAAACCTTCCAGCCCACCGCCAGTCTGAAGAAGCTAGTTAATCCCTATAGCCCGGCCAGCCTTTCCCCGGCAATCTGGAGCGAGGCGCTTGAATCGTGGCTAATTGCGCGCCACGCTGGCCGCGCACCGGCGTCCGGGGACCACCGGTAACGGTCAGCCGTGTTACCCTGGCGACCCCAGGCGCTACGCCTGGCCGCGCAGGCGCAGCAGCGGCCGTCCGCTTGCCATGACGGTTGCGCGCTGCAACGCCCCGCTCGTGACGTCACAGGGGTGCGGGAGAGTTGTAATGATGTGGGAAGCTTGAGAGTTTCTCGGCAAACTTATGAGAGAATATAGTCAGCTTTAGTTAGTTCAGACAATGCGTGACGGGCACCCACGACAGTTTTACATTCTGCCTCCAGCATGTCACCCACTAAATTCTGTTAGCGTACTGAACATCGTCTACAGTGCCTCATTACCTCTTCTATGTAAATTCGTATATATATATATATATATATATATATATATATATATATATATATATGTGTGTGTGTGTGTGTGGTGTGTGTGTGTGTGTGGGTGTGGGTGTGTGTGTGTGTGTGTGTGTGTGTGTGGGTGTGTCTGTGTGTGTCTGTGTATAAATCCCCGCATCTCGGGTATCTTTATGGTTATACCGTGGTTCTTGTAGAACCTCGGTGTGCTTTGGATCTGTTTCACAGGTGATCCATGAGTCACGCCATGGTGGCACGACTCCGAGTTGTGACTTTTCTCAAACCTACATATTCAAGGACGTCCACCGGTTCAACGTGGCCTCCGCTGCCGCCAAAGTCGACGTCCTCGTGTGAGACCCTCCTCTCGCCGCTAAAGGCACCAGCGTTTCCGGTAGTCAGTGGGCGTCATCAGGAGGCTATGGCGCGGAAGCCGTATACACCGGGGGCTTTTGGCATCAGTGAATGCTATCTCATTTGCGTAAGTGGAAGCTGCAAGAGCTGCTGCAAAGCTGTCGTATCATGTGATAAGCTTGACGACGGGAAGTCCCATTGGGAGCCGGCCGCACTAGTGAAGGAAACAATGTTTAAGGAAGTACTGTTGGGCTCAAGCACTTCGTTCCAATCAAGCCTTCGGGTAGAATGTATGCACCTGCATAAGCATGCTGAGACCGTTAGTCAAGAGCAGCTGTTTTTGTTGCCAGCGGCAAGCGGTAGTAATCTTTGTGACGTCATTAGAAGATCAATATTTGTCCCTTCCATGGCACTACGGTCCTTTGCAAATGTTCATTTTAGTATCATCGGGATGACTCCTAAGACATTACACTGGCGAGGAAGTGGTCGGTGCTTCTTATCTGAGAGGCGTCCTGCGGGGCCCTTCCCTCTCCGACAGGAAATGGGAGGCACCCGGGAATGAATTGTCACGAACTAGGATTTTTTCAACACCGAGTTAAAACTAGATGGATGTTGTAGCTTGGCATGGCTGACATCTATCTCAGGAATCAAAACAGCAACGTGCATAGCGTGATACCAACACAATCCAAACCGATCCAGTTTTCCCTGTACCGGCAACAATCCCGAACAAGCCATCGCCCCAGAAGTCGTCCGGCCCCGCCTGAGCCTTGTTCGCCCGCGCAGCGACCCTACGGCCGCCATGTCGACAACAGCCGCCTCCACGTCCCAGGGGAGCGGCCGAGGAGGTCGCGCCGGCGCCGGTGCAGCGCCCTGGCGGCCTCGCGGGCTGCGCCAGCAGCCGGTGCCGCACTACCGGCTGCCGACGGCCGAGGCCGTGCTGCGCAAGTACGAGCTGGGCGCGCAGCTGGGACGCGGCAACTTCGGCACGGTGTGGGCGGCGCGCGAGCGCAGTACCGGCCTCATCTGGGCTGCCAAGGTGGTAGCGAAGAGCAGCGTGAGTGGCAAACAAGGAGAGGGTGGGGAAGAGGAGAGGAACTGGAGCCTTGGTGATGTTGGCAGTGTGGGGAGCGCAACTGATTGTTAAGTGTCTTGAGACCAGCTGTGTTTGGTACAGTACGGTAGAGATGCGGTGCGTGGCTTGCCGCCGAAATGGTTCAATGGATACTCAAATGCTCTTAAGCGACGGAAAAGAATGTTTTCTGTTGTCCTATATGCAGTCACACAACACGTGGCTAACAGCGTGGGCTGATCGTTCCGATGATATTGGTGCACCTGTCCAATGCTATTTTTCGATTTTTTTCGCAGAACAAGCTGAAGATGCTATTACTGGGTCGCGAAATTCAGGTTTTGAAGATGGTGGAGCATCCAAACATTGTGTACTTGCGCGAGATATTTGAGACATCTGACGTGAGTTCATCTGCGACAACATGTACCACCATTGGGGTTGTCATTGCTGGACTCGGGTCCGGGCTCCATGAACTTTCGGCAGATTGGGCTAACTCGTGTTTTGACCATACACATTGCTCTAAAACTGAAATGGTCCACAGCAGCACGCAATGCGTGCTTGTCTTCATATCCATTAAAAAAGTGCATGCTCTTATTTCCCAGACACGATCATGTAACACCTTAAAGTGCTTCAGACCCAGGGGTGTGTGCAGAACATGGGGGATAAAAACAACTCAAAATTGGTCCACAATAGGCCGATTTTAGCACGCTCAACGCACAAAATTTCTAGCGCGGCGTACAAAAATATTGTTTGTTTTCGATCGGCTTACCATCTGTGTGTCTCAATTTTTTATTTTCGAAGTTCAGTCACATGAAAAAAGATGAAAAAATTGAGGGGATGGGGACGTTCCTCGATGTCCTCTCCCTTGAATGCACTTCTACTTGGTTCCCAGAAATCGATGTTCGCGGTATTCAGGAATTCTTGTGGGTTTTGAATAGTTGGAACCGAGAGGAATGAATCTCCACACACTGTACAGTGTCCTGGTCCCGGCTGACCCGGCAGAACGTGTACCTGATCCTAGAGCTGTGTGAGAGGGGTGAGCTGGCCACCTTCTGCCGGGAGAAGGGCAAGATACCGGAGCGGGCCGCCAGGGGGATCATGGCCGGCATCACTGATGCTATTCACTACCTCCACAGGCACGGTGAGTGCAACTACGTGTCAGCTGGGGACACGGGAGGACACAGTCTCCCTCCTCAATGGCTGGGAACTTGTGTTGGTCGATGGGCCTGAAGCCCTCGAGACCTTGTGTGTCCAGGTTCGCTGCTGTGGTGTTGGCAGCTTTCGACAGCCTGTGACGGACATGTGGTGGGAGATTAATGCCCTATAATACTGTCGGGAAGTGCCTGCTTTGGTGCGGGACCGTCCTAGAGGCGTGAATCCTCGCCCCACACGCAAGGGATATCCTCTGAAAACGCATGAGGATCTTCTGCATTAAAAAGCGTTATGGGCGTAGGAGTTCAGCACTAAAGCTGTCGAAGTACGCTCAGCGTAGAGCGGTGCAACCCCCGCTCCAATCCTTTCGTGAGACCTTTCTTCGATGCCGTTGAGTGGATCGTGATGGAGCTTGGCTTAGTACGTTTTATATATTTTTGCACGCTTAAAAGTCCGGACATAACTCCATCGAAAGTTTGGGAAATACCAGGCCACCAAGCTATGAACTCGTTTGCAAAGGTTTGTAAGTTAAAAGTTAGAGGAGACGACACAATGCATTCTCGAAATTGAGCGCACGAATCCTTGTTTGGATGGGAGCTCTGAATGCGTCGTAGGACTATATGACAAATTTCATCAATACAGGTGATGTTTTGAGTGCATATCCCATCGACATCAGGGTCAAATCGGGTCAAATATTGGGGTTTACGCCTAATCAGTGTCCGCCCACCGAACTTCTCTCTCAGGTATCGTACACCGTGACCTGAAGCTGGAGAACGTCCTGCTGGCGGCGCCACTGGCGTCGGAAACCGAATCAGATGGCGCCACAAGCGACCAGCCCTGTGCCAAGCTGTCCGACTTCGGTTTGGCCGAGGTCAAGGATAAACGGGACCACGATCACATGATGAACCTGTTTTGCGGCACGCCGTACTGCATGGGTGCGTGAGGCCTTGCAGAGCCGGTTTTACTCCTCAGGGTGCGATTGAGGCGACGCTGAGATGACAGCCATTATTCGTGAGCGTTGGGCCGTACGTCACCCGTCTAACAAGGGCATGCGGTATGAGTCTTCGCTTGCCACGATGAATCTCGTTCCTTTGTAATGATTTTCAAAGAAGACTCACAAATGGGCCAAAGGAAACTTCTCACTTGGGCTTTAACACAATTATTGTACCTCGAACACATACAATGTGTCTCTTTTGACATGTAACATTTAACTTTTGACGTGGTCCTCGACATTTCTAAATATGTTGAAAAATGGCACGATGGACTTCCTTACAAATGTGAAAACGGTGTATTCTTATCGGGCACTCTGCTACTAGTACTAGTACTCCACTGAAACCATGCCTGACAAACGGAACAGAAAAGGTGAGGATGGAGACGCCACTTCTCCGAGAGCGACTGTAGGTTCTGGCTGCCCGCAGTGATCGGTCTAAGACTCCGGCGGGCTTTAATGTATCTTGACGGAGTGGCTGACAGAGTAACTTATGACATGATCTTTTACGCCGATGACACTTCCCTCTACGTCTCTTAAACATTAAACGATATCGAAGTGGCTCCGGATTCTCTTCAAGGCAACTTGCATGCTAATGACGACAACAGCAGACAGTGAGCATGAGATTCAACACCTTTGAAACGATGCAACAGACATTTAGCCGCAAAACGCATTACACGCAGCCAATGCTAAAATTATCAGGCCAACACATTCACCCTGACACCGAAGCATACAAACACCTAGGACTTACTCTATCTACAGATATGGAATATCACACACAGCAAATAACATCATCGAAAAGGTAAGATAGCAATAAACCCACTTTACCCCATAGCTAAAAACATACATCACAGCACACTCAGTAACATACATAAAACGTACATTAAGCCTCCTTTTGACTATGGTGACATTGTTTTTGACGCACATGTTACATCACAAGACGAACAACGAATAAAAAAAAACACAAAACAGAGCGGCGAGACTCGTGACAGGAATTTTACTCGGGCCGTCGACGGATGAATTAGATGAGGCTTGGGGTGGAACACATTAGGTGGTACACATGGGGTGAAACACACACAAGACACAACGAAGGTTGTACGAGCTGTCATTTTTTCACATAACGATGGACATAAAACACCAAGGACCTCACCATATTAGACAAATACTCCCCATGCACGCATCACAAACACTGGCACAGCACTCAGAACCTCCAGAACTCAAACACTGCCCGAGGACAGAACAACATATTTGCTACAACGATCATTCATACCGAACACCACTCGCATGTGGAACAAACTACCCGAAGCACTTGGCGCAAAGACATCACGCAAAAAATAAAGAATTTGCGGTAGATCTGATTGGCACTGGCAAACCTCCTCCATGCTTCTCATACGGGTCAAAATTCGGAAATATCTACCACAACCAAATGAGAATCGGGAGCCTGCCTGTTGACGCGTAACTCTTCCAGGGTCAAAAGCCTTCCGCTCATCACTGTGTCTGTGGCCACAGATCTGAAAAAATCATCATTCAGCCTATTTTGCCCACTTTTCGGCACCTTAGACGCAATCTCTTCCAACCTGGCACACATATATTGGGTTCCCATTTCAACCAATTTTTGAGCACCGACACTATGCACGGATAATTGTACGTAATAACTATGACCAACAATGACGGTCGGGTACTTGCGACATGCTTCCATAATTACATCATTAAAGCGTGAAACCGCGGCACGAGGATAAATCAAAGATTTATTACATTTTGAAATCAAACAAAATAATCTAAAACATATGTGACCGATTGCAGATCAGGAACGGGGCTTCATAATATGCATTGGGGCAAGGAATTTTGGAAAACCATAGCAAAACTGTTGTTTTATTGCTATTGCAGTGCTTGGGTGATATGCATATTATATCTTGGTGCGGGGGGGGGGATCGATAGGAAAATCATGGAGGCCACGCTGTATGCATGCATACACTGACAACAAAACACAAACCAATGTGTAAAAACGGCTATTCTGGGTGTCGCGTCAAAGTTAATAGGAACACCAAGGTAAGAACGACATCCAACGCACAAAAACTCACCCACACATGCAGAGCACTAATACACAGTACACAGACAGCCCGCAAACACGAGATAAAAACAGGCCTAGTAAGCACGAAAACGTTCCATAAAAACGTACTTGTTGATGCAATAGCGCATGCTCCTTCTCACCATCTATTTGAAACACTCCTGTACCACTCCCGTCTCCTCGGAAATCTCTAACGGTGGACCCTTTCTGCCACTCCGGCACCACTCCCATCTCCTCCCCGGAGAGTCCGCGACGGTGAACCCCTTCTGCCACTACGGCACCATTTTCGTCTCCTCCCCGGAGAGTCCATACCGGTGGATCTCGTCTGCCACTCCGACACCACTCCCGCCCCCTCCTCGGAGAGTCTATATCGGTGAACCCCGTTTTCGGCAGCGCCTGAGATCCTGAGTGAGCGGGCGTACAGTCAGCAGTGCGACGTCTGGTCCATGGGTGTCATCCTCTACACTCTCATCGCCGGCCACAGTCCCTACCTGGGCGGCAGCGAGCGCGACGTGTTGTACAGCATCCACCGGCACCCTAACCTGCAGGTACAGCACCTGACAGGACTGCAACCTGCAGGTACAGCATCCCCCGACACCAAACCTGCAGGTACAGCATCCATCGGCACCCCAACCTGTAGGTACAGCGCCTGACATGACTACAACCTGCAGGTACAGCATCTACCGGCACCCGAACCTGCAGGCACAGTGTCCACCAGTACCCTAACCTTCAGGTACAGCACCTAATGCAGGTATAGCATCGGACGCCCCCCTCCCCCCAATCTGCAGGTACAGCACCATGGAAAAGTAACATGCAGGAACAGCATCCTCCGAAACCCAACCTGCAGGTGCAGCATTCACAGGTACCCAACCTGCAGGTACAGCGTCTACAGGTACCCAGCCTGCAGGTATAGCAGCCTACGGGGCCCCACCTTGCTGGTACAGCACCTGATGGGACTGCAACCGCAGATAAAGCATCCCTCGACACCCAACCTGCAGGTGCAGCTTCTGACGGCGCCCAGCCTGCAGGTGCAGCTTCCGACGGCGCCCAGCCTGCAGGTGCAGCTTCCTGACGGCGCCCAGCCTGCAGGTGCAGCTTCTGACGGCGCCCCGACCTGCAGGTGCAGCTTCTGACGGCGCCCCGACCTGCAGGTGCAGCTTCTGACGGCGCCCACCCTGCAGGTACAGCTTCTGACGGCGCCCCGACCTGCAGGTGCAGCTTCTGACGGCGCCCAGCCTGCAGGTGCAGCTTCTGACGGCGCCCAGACCTGCAGGTGCAGCTTCTGACGGCGCCCCGACCTGCAGGTGCAGCTTCTGACGGCGCCCAGCCTGCAGGTGCAGCTTCTGACGGCGCCCCGACCTGCAGGTAAGGGGTGCCCCAATTAGCATCTGAGGTAACCCCAACCTCTGCGGGAGAGATACAGCATACGTCGGTGTCTGAACGCGAAGATGCGCTTTCCACTGGAAACACAGCGTGCAGGAACAGCATTTGCTGGCAACCCAAGCTGCCTGTGCAGCATCGACTTGCAGATGGGTGCGGTCTTTGCCAGTTCCCAACCGAACAGTAGCTGTTGGCGTGTTCAGCATTCAGTGCGTTACCTACCAGCACCTCAGCGGAAAGGTACGGCACCTGCCAGCAAGGGCGTAGCTAAGGGGGTGCTTTGGTGTCCATGCCCTGTTCCTCGGCTCTGGAGGTGCAAGGCCCCTGGGAGCCCCAGCACTTTTGGATGGTCTGAGACATCGGATAGGGCTTCTATGACATAAAAACGGGTTCCCAAGGCATCAAAGAAAGCTCATTAGTCTAACAGGGCTCCAGAATCGGGACCCCAAATAGGTCCCCTGCAGGAACAAACAGGGTTAAAATTGATGAAAGGGCCCATGAGCCGATTCGGCACTCTCCTGGGCGAAATCACCGGCTGCTCCCTGTCTTTCGGTACCTTAGTTTGCAAACTTAGTACCCCTCGGCGCCCTGCCTTGCGAGCATAGGATCTGTCGGTGTGCGGCAGTCTACAGGCAGTGTCTACGGTCATCGCATGCCTTCCTGCATACGGCACTTGCCCGCCACCAAACCTTCAGGTATGCAGTGTTTGCACCGACGTCTCAACTGGTGCAAGCGCGATTATTTCAAAGGGTTCTGTCGCTTTGTGTCCCCCGATTAACATTCGACAATCTGACTTTCAATGCGCCGTTACCACCGCTGGACGCATAGTTGAGCTCCAGCGACGAGCGAAATGCTTTCAAAGCACATGTTACCGAATGTTATCGATCTCTATTGTTTTTCCAGCCCCCTGCACTTCTACACTAAGCCACCTTGACCCAGCACTTCCCTGCAGCAGCCATCAGAGTTGTACCTAAGCTGCTGTCATTATTACATGGCATTCCTTTCCGTTGATGTGGCTGAGCCGTTTTGACTCGATGTATCAGCACATGCCATCATTTACTGAGAGCAATGCCGTGTAAAATGTAAGCCTCGTGATCCATGCCGCACTACATCAATGTCCCGCGAGTGAGTACTTATTAACGAAGTCGTTGGTGGAACCCTTGGCGTAGCCGCCGCCGTGCTGCCACTGACCGCCCCCCCCCCCCCCCCCCCCTCCCGCCCCCAGAGTGATCCGGGGCTGGGCACTGTCTCGCCAGGGGCCCGCGACCTGCTTGGAAGAATGCTGCATTTAGATCCGGCCTACAGAAGCACTGCTTCCGAAGTGGCCGCCCACCCCTGGATCGTGGTCAGTATTTTTCCTTCGACGAGCGCTGATCATTGTTCAGCCAAACCGATTCGGTAGCCGCTGTGGTAACAAAGACCTGGAACTCAGATCCATTGCGTATTTTTCACATGGAAGACTAGCATCTTTCCGAAAACATCTGTTCCAGGATTTTTTCTTCTATGCTACGTCATGAGTGGCCACACAATGTGATGGATTAATGACATGACACTCCCATAAGCTCGTAGAGTTCTCGCCATCCGCAGGGCAGTCGTGTGGTTGCGCTGACCCCTAAACCAACAGCACAAGGGATTCGCATGCCTATCCCGTGATGTAAGAGCACGTACGCGTTGTATGCTTCGTGCGACGTTTCCAAGAAATGGGCAAGTTGAGCCCTTAGTCACGAGTGTCAGATCCTGCAAGATAAATGCCAGGAGGCTACGCTACAGCTAACAAGGATGGCATAATTGATAGCTAATACGGCGTGACAGTCAGCCGTGAGACTCTTGGAAAATCGCCGAGCCGGACTCTGCTTCATTAGAAACTTGATCATAATCGTTTCGGTGCGGAGGCCCTCGAGCTCACCGGAACAGGTCGTCCGACCCTCTTCCAGACCGAACCCCTTCCAGACCCAACCCTTTCCAGATCGAACCCCTTCCAGACTAAACCCTTTCCAAACCGAACCCCTTCCAGACCGAACCCCTTCCAAACCGAACCCCTTCCAGACCGAACCCCTTCCAGACCGAACCACTTCCAGACCAAACCCCTTCCAGACCAAACCCCTTCCGGACCGAAACAAGCGACATCGCCGAGACGAGCGCAGGCGCGTTATGATCAGCCGACGTCGTCCTCAGGATGAATGCATGCAAGCCAGCCCCTCCCAAGATATCCTGACAATGATGAAGGAGTGGAGGATCGAGATGAGCTCCTCCGATGACTTGAGCCATGACCCACCCTCGGCAGACGACGACCCCATCATTAGTCAACAGGTGATAGTACTCGCGATGTGACGAAAGGCGCGATTTGCCGCGCACGTAATGTAATGGAAAAGAAACATGATGCAATGATCGCGTGATGTTGTACTATTCTTCCATTTTGTCATTTCAAATACGGGAAAAGCTAGCTATACAAGTGGAAGCCTTCGCGAGTCTATGCCTACCGAATGTCGGCCATTGTATCCATTATCCATACCATTATCATATTGTTTATATTCAAACATGTCATCTGGTCCTGTCATGTCTAGCCCTTGCCACTGCCTGTGTAATGCTCAGACCGAGTCGGGCCCGCCGCCGGTCCGCCCGCGGCGACTGTCGGCGAGTTCGGACCGTCACCCGGCCGGCGCGGTCCGACCGGTCCGGTCCGGCCGGTCCGCGGGTGGGACCGGCACCCCGGCTAGTCCGGCCGCCCGGCCCAACATCTACGGGTCAACGCGCTCGCGGCCGACCCCGCCCGGCCACCGCCGCCACCCAGGCGGCAGGTCCTGGACTCAGGGTCGCGGCGGCGCCGCCAGCAGCGCCGGAACGGAGCTGCAGGCAATGGCTGGCAACAAACGACAGGGCACCTCTGCGGAGAAACTAGCGCAGCGCGTGGCGAGGCCGGAGGCGGACCCGGCGGAGACGGGGAGGGGCCATGGGGGGTCGGCTCGGAGAGTCCCGCCGTCATCGGTTCGGAGCGCGCCAATCGGCCAGGCGAGGGTGGCGCCACCAGCGGCCGCCAGGGAGCGCTAGGAGAACCGTTTGCGGTATGATGGCTGCGTGGTTCGGGAACCGGTGTGGGTCTGCTGGCGGAGGCGCGTGAAAGACGATGTCTTTTTTCACTGGCCGCGCATTTTACTGCTGGTAGGATCGGAGGAAGCATCGATATACACGGATGTGGTTCGACGCCTGCATGCCTCAGGGCGGACGTCACGATGAAATCAGAGTCGTTTGCGACATTCACTACGCTTGCAGGTGATGTAAAAAGGGGCGCCATGGCTGCAGGCTGCAAATAAAATGCCATCCGGGTAGTGGCAGTTATGTGTGTCCGGATCTGTGTAGACGATCTGGCTAGGAAAGTGTCTGCTGCTTTTCTTACCTGTTTTAGGCATTGGTACTAAATGAGGACAGCGTGTAATGCAATCGCGTCATCTCCGGCGATACTCGCATGTTGCTCTCATGAGTTGACGCCGTGACTTATCACGCCGCCTGGATCACACCATCATTACAGACGCGCTAACACTGCCATCTAATCGGATTGTGATACCGTTGGATCAACGATATCGCGTCATCAAACAGCCGGGCTGGAGACCAGTTGCGTATAAAAAAGAGCCTTAGGAATATGCTGTTTTTAATTGTTCTGGTGTCCCAGTTTTTTCCAGGTCAAGTTAAACGGAAATGAGCGCGCTTGCCTGTTCCACTCACTAATCCTGCGGCACCACAGAAAATTGGGTCATCTTTTTCGCACCGCCCCTCACACGGGCGAAGGAAGGGGACGTTGGGCCATTAGGCCATTGCCCACGGAATGTCATATTCATTATGTTATGATTATCAATTACTAGAAATTTTAAAAAATGATAACCATGGCGGCTGCGGCCTGCCCGTTGTCGCCTGCCCCTCGCCCATGCCCGGCTGCCCCCTAACCGGCTGCCGGCGGACTATGGGCCCCGCCTGCTCGGCCGCAGCTGACGATCAATGGCGGCCGGCCGGGCCAGCGGCGTCAGCACGGCGGGGCCGCCATCGATCGCGCAGTTCGCGACGCCGCCGCCGGTCGGCGCCACCGGCGCGGCCGGCCGGCGGCCGCCGCAGCTGCGGCCAGCGTCATGGGAGCGGCGGCGGTGGCGGCGCTGTTATGCCCCGGCGCCGGCGAAAATAGAGCCGCCGCGGCAGAACGCGCGCCGTGTGGGGCTGCTCGAGAACTACCGGCGCTGCAGTAGCGAGCGAGACGCGCCTAGAGCTGCGGGACGGGCAGCGTATGCGTGCGCAGGTGACGACCAATTAGGACAGCAGCCATTGAGGTGTGAGTCATTAATTCAAAAACGATATTGCGCCGGACATTTGCGAATTTAGGGATGGTATTTTTTGGCTTGAAGATATCTAAGGCATCCCTATTAGAACGCCAGCTTTTGCACCAGGTTGAGTTCGTGGATATCAGAAATCACGTCATTGGCAAACAGACAAAACGCCATGTTCATCGACCACCCACAGCTGCCATGTTCTGACACGGATGGCAGATGTACAAGTCGCATGGCCTCCACCACACGACTGCTTCAAGAGGCAGCCAGTGTTGGCCTTTGAGCCGAGCCATCTCCATCAAGGGCCAGCAGCGCAAATAACCGACCGTCGCGTCACACGCCGCGTCCCGGCCTGCGGAGTTCCCATGTTTGAGTTAAACCACCTGCCGTCACGCTCGTTGGGAGTGGGGTCTGCCCGACACTTCATAGAGCCCAGTTATATCTACTGAACCCACCGGTGGAAGATGCTGAGAAAAGCTGATGTGGCGAAGCTGACCAAGTGAGCATCTTTCAAGTGTTATTTTCCAATTTAAATAGTGATTTTCAGTGCTGAGAGAGGTTTTGATAATTAGCGAAATATTGTATATGTGGCCAAATCCCAAGTAATGTTTGTGTGAGAAGCGCTCCTGCCATACTTGTAGCACCTTACTGTACACCCATGTTTGTGCGTTGAGTCCGACCAAGGTCCAGATTCATCCGCAAGTCCAGCCTGCCGGAGTTCATACTCGCAACCTACTCGTACATGTGCACTGTCCATGTCTCCAGGGAGTGCATAGCCTCACCAAATAGACAAACGGAGGCAAAGAAAAGAAATATCTATCTCACCGCCTACAAATATCAGAGACCATCAAACTGTCACAGTTTCAGGGCTCAACAGAAACCCAAAACCAGCGCATAAGTGTAATGTCACTAGCGATGATGATTCGGAGAATTTTGGGTTTGAATGCATGTGTAAGTGGATTCTGATTCGAGTTTTGCAAACGGTTGTGCCTTGGAACAGCTACCTCGAACAAATGCATTGCATTGAAATGGGGGATGAGTGACTCAGTCAGATGGAGGACCGCCATGTGCGTGCTGTATTCAGCTTATCGTAGGGGAACGTGAACGCAAATTATATCTCAGACATTGAACTGCTTATCTAAACGATGATATTCGGGGTTCAATATATTTCTTCACTTTGATCCTGATCTTTGGGGCTAAAATCCTCGCCTTCAGGCAACGAGGATTTGCAAGATTCGACCGTCTTTGGATCTTTTCAAATCTTTTGAATCCGAGCCCTTAACTTTAAATGTTATGCTGTACTGTACTCACGTCCTCTGGTGGAACAATCATCTGTTATCTCACAAATTGATACACAACCCGGTAACTGGGCGAAAATTTTCACTGCAGAAATGAATAGCCAGGAACACGCGCCTGTTAGTCAATATATATTGTTTCTAGTCACTGCACGCACGATTCTAAAGTAGGTATAATAAACGATGATACCTGCTTTCGACAACTGCCGAACTTACATCGTCAAAGACACCGTCGTGGAAGCAGGGCCTTACCGCCATACTTCTTCGACATCACGTCCTCGGAGGATCCCTCAGCTACTGTACACATGCGCGCTCTTTTCCTCATCCACCCTTCCTGAATCCCCGCAACGCTCTGGTTATCCGGGGCAAGCCGTATACATCTGTCAGTTCGTCTGGCGTCAGCCTCGTCCGGGCGCCGGTGGGGAGTCTCTGTACAGGGGGGGGGGGGGGGAGTCTCGTCAACGAAGGGGCCCCCACATGCATGCAGTCATATCTTAACAATCTTCACCATACAGGCGTGGAAACGGCTGGGCTTCAGGGCGCCATGTTGCCACAGTTTCACGAGAGCTCGACATGAATTCTACGGCGACGCATGACAAAATTGTCTTAAATTGGTGGCGACACCTCACTTTCTGAGATGTTATTTAACACATGTTTTCCGATCTTCTCCATCTCAAAGCCCTGCGATGGCAACCCACTGACAAAAGAGGTCGAATTCTGTCAAGCCCAAATTGCCGAGCGCGCGTAGCACTACTGAAATCTTCGCTGCAGTATCTCCGGCGGCAGGGAACAGCCAATTCAAGAACTGTAGCATGACCAATTATTAACCTCAGCTGCTCGATTTGTGGGCTGCGGGCCGCGCACGTCTGCGCTGAGGCTGGTAGGAGTTGCTACGAGTAGTAAGTAGTTTTGCAAACGCTCCCCTTGCCAGTTGAAAAATGATAAATAATTGTTCGAGCCACACCACACGCAACTGGCTTTGAAGCCTACGAGCTACATGAGTGCCGGTGAACTGAACGGAAATATAATCAAAGGAGATGATTAAAAATGAATTGAGTGAATGCTTTCGAGTTAATGATGCAGACATCTTTAAAATATCAACAAATTGGTGTGATTGCTACGCCACCAACACAGCGACGTGACTGGCCGGAGTAGCGGAATTGTATTGTGTTGTAATATATTTGCAAAATCTGTCGTCTTCGTCTGTAGCCGAGGAGCGGGCTTCTTTCCTCTTTGTGGTCAAGCCCGCGTAGGTTTTCACGTTATCGGAGTCCACATCCTCAGCCAAGGCCACGGCTGAAAATGGAGGTAGAGTAGCTGGTGATAGAGTAACTCTGAAGCCACAAGGGCTTCAGGACTCTCACGAATCATCAGCTTCGGACCCCCTCCCCCGTTGCGCCAATGGTATTAACAATGGGTGTAGGGTGAGGGGTCATGTCCACCCGCTCCGTGGCGTCAAGCACGATTCTACCGTTTCAATGGCTTCGTCCCCAAAAGGCGGGTGGCTTTCATTGAGCACCAGTTTCAGGAAGCCCAGCCTCCCCCCCCCCGCCCCCAGGTCACCGGCTGGGCTACAGGTTTCAAATCCTGGTGACGCCCGTGGCTGAGCCAGGTGCGGCTCGAACTCCGGATTGTTGCAACATCGGACGCTAAGTGAGCGCTTGGAGCGCACACGCCGCTGCACTGCGCGTCGACGCGGCACAGCCCCACTGATAGCGGGTGTACGTTACAGCGAAATATGGGCGGTGATGTTCAGGACAGGGAAGCCTCTGCATTCCAGCATCGCTCCGCTCCGCTGCGCCGCGCGTAGTAGGCTGGGGGTGGGGGGGGGGGGGGGTCGGGCGGGAAAGGGGGCAGTTACAGCAGCTTGTTATTTTTTAGAGGGGCATACCCCGAACATCGGATTAAAATTTCCCGTAATTTTCCGTAATGAGGCGAAAGTTTGAATTCCGATGATTGGCATTTCGGCCGCCTCAAATGCAGCAAAACGGAACATTGCGACTATTGCGCAAATTTCACCAGCCCGCAATGACGCTAAGGTCTATACAATGCTACTGTTCATTGGTGCGCAGATTCCAATTCAGTTGGGAGGCAGGAGGAGGGTTTCGGCGACGCCAACTGGGAGTCCAGCCTCCCCTCCTCCCCTAACTTAGCCAATATGGCAGCGCCGTACATCAAGGCCTTCTTTCGGGCAATCAACGTACATGACTCTCCGCCACCACGCTGTACGCTTTAAATGAACATTAACTCATACGCTGGCTCACAGATTACGAATACGCTCACGATTACGGCCCTGGGCGCAAAATGACCCTAGAAGTCGACGCGCCCTAAAACCCCAATCATCATCAAACGATTACGGCCCACAACCCTCCCGAATTTCCTAAAAAATCGCGGAATTTAGTTAAGGGACGACACTGCACCGGAACGCCCTGTCGCCAGGAAGCGATCTCACCCAGCACTCATGCGTTCGAACCCGACTCACCAGGTGGCATGGAATTTAAACCGCACGGCGCTGACATCCCTGTCGTCAGCGCTCCCAGGCGGGCCGCCGCAGCGGCTGCGCGGTCCACCTGCCCGGCCGGCTGCCCGGCGCCGGGCCGGCGCGTCACGCCCGGGCTGCCGTGCCGCCTGGCGGCGAGGCGGATGCTGTGCCGGCGGGCCCCGCGGCCGTCGCCCCCGCAGCGCGCCCGGCCGGCGGCTGGCTCAAGCCGGCGGCCGGCGCCCCGTCCAGCGGCGCGCGCAGGGCCCGGAGGTAGGGGGGATGGCGAAAACATGAAAACAAGCCGATCACACGGACCTGAGCATCAGGATTTCCAGAAGTCGGAAGCGACCTCCGCCACGCTCGCGACTTCGGCGGCTTAATTCGCCGTGTCCGCGAACGGCAGAGCCTGCGTGTCCCAGCCGGGTAAGAGCGAACTCGCCCGCCTGAACCCAGCTGCTGAACCACGTCGCATCAACACCACCATATACGGCCTGCAGTTACGCTAACGCTAGGGTCTGCAATGCTGCCGTGGTTCAGAAGCCGGGTCCGGAGGATGATGACCAAAATCCAGAGCCTCTGGACAACATGCGACTGAATGGCGTCCCGGGAATGCAGTGAAAGCTGGACGGAGCCGGGACGCAGCGACACTGCTTTTTATTACAACACCCTCAGCGGGGCGACCGCACGGACCCCCCGCCCCCCCCCCACCGCTTCTCTCCCAACCGGCCGTGCAGGACCACGCTCCGCGCGAACGCCCCAGTACACAGCCGCGCTGCATCTGCCTTTGCCTCTCTTCGATCCCGGCCCGCTCCTACGCCGCCGGTGGGGTGGGATCTCGACGAGACCCGCGCCCATTCGGCTCGGCCGCCTGGCGGTCGGAGCCCGAACCACGTAAAAACATCAGCCGCTGCCGTCCAAGACTCACTAGACACGCACAGTTTTTCAATATTTTATTACAAAACAGCCTCGTCCTTTTGCTCGTCACTTCATACCACAACGGAGATCCACTGCAACGTCCGCATGCTCGCAATGCAATGGTCAGTGACGGAGAGAAGGGAAGCCACACCGCTCGCGCTACCAAATATGTTTGCCATTAGACACACGTAAAATGATGGGTCGCCTACGTGCCAGGATCATGACATGTTGTCTTCTTCTCAATGCCGGCGGATCACCTGCTCAAATATGACCAGTCAGGGCAAATGTAAAATATGAGCTACATTGTAAACCTATTGCCTTTAATGACAAACAGTCTGGGGTGTGACTGGAGTCGATCGATGTTTATGCGTTAAGGTCATGCGATACATGACGGTCTTTGTTCTATCATTCGCACACAAGACCTGGTCTCACACACCGCACCATACCCCTTGTACACGTTGAGAAGGAATAACTTACATTACACAGATGAGAACTCAGACGAGGGGTGAAAAACGCTTTGTGATCTCGTCTTCAGTTTGCTAATGGACACAATTGGTTCTCCCTGGGCCCCAGGGGCGCCCAGACTTTACAGACGTCCCCAAGCCAGCGTGTCACATCCAATTGTTCATGCAGGCGCCGTCTCTGCCACGATTCAAGCCCGGGCCCAGACGGCTTTGGCAGGAATAGTCTGTTCACGCGATGAAGTGTTCACATTACGCATCCTCCTCTTCCTCTTCGCCCCCATCCTCTTCCTCTTCTCCGTCTTCATCTTCTCCCTCCTCTCCCTCTACATCCTCTGAAAACCACAGACACCGAATTCAATGCTAGCGCCATCAGAGCGTCGTTGATATGCATCATTTTACGTCGAAATGCCCTCAAAATTCATCACAATCACAAAGCTCAAAATACTTACCCTCATCTTCCTCCCCGTCCACATCCTCTTCGCCAAGCTCCTCCTCATCCTCTCCATCCAGGTTCTCCTCCTCCTCTCCCAAATCCTCTTCGTCACCGTTCACGGTCTTGAGTTTTTTGGCTTCAACTTCATCCTGGGGGCCAAAGCCATCACACTCAACACATGAACGGCATCGCACAACTCACATGAACATGCAAGCAAAAAAAAACTAACCAGACAACAGCGGCGAATCTGCATCGCCACTAGTTGGTCAGTGGTCTGTTTCAGTCAGGCGCTATTCGTCTTTAGGGGCGCGAAAGACGCGCCCAGCACCATACTTGAAAAATGCACCGAAAAACGTAGCATAACACCGAAAGTCCAGCACGGAACGTAGAACTGAACGAACGCCCTGTCACTCCACGTGTAAACTGCAAGACGCTACATTCGTGTCAGATCTAATCGCACGCTGATATCATGCGCCATCATTTGACGACGAGCAAGACGCCATTAATCGTGTTTAGCACTTTATGAAATAGTGGCGCGTGAAAAACACGGTCATACGTTGCGTCTCAAACACTAACATTTGATACATTACCAATTTTCGACATTTTTTTAAATGTCAGGGGCATACATAAGGGACAGGTAACAGGGGCCACGCGTCCATCTACATTGATAAGTACACGAGCGAATTATAGTCCCGCTAGAAGATAGCGGAAAACAAGTAAGAAATATTGCAATCATTGTCCCGTTGTTATTTCCCACGAGGTACGCTGGTCCTGCGTTACTAGGAAGTCCCCACCTACAGCACAATAGTTCGGCAAGTTTTCATCGGACCCTGAGGTCGCCTGAGATCGCCTTACATACTGATGCAAACACCAAAATCAGTTAGGCCCATGACCAATCAGTCTGTGCCCCAGAAAAACAAAAGTGCGTAGGCGCCTTCCACCATGCGTCGGAGCGAGCCGGCCATCATGGTAGAGCGCGTACGGCGGCACTTCAAGACGCCTCGCTAGAGGCTACCGTGCATTAACTGGACAGCAAGGACACCGGCCCGCCCTCCCGCCTCCCCACGCGCGCAGCAGAGCCAGGCAACGTACCAATGTTTCCAATATGGCAGCAACAGCAAAAAGACTTGGTCCACACGGGGCTGGCAAGCATTCAAGCAACACCAATCCGCCATCAACAGCAGCTACGTGCCGCGGCAACGCAGCGGCTCGGTAGAGGCTAACTGCGAAGCGCGCCAGAATCCTTCCACTCACTAGCAGCGCGTATCCTGACACATTACATAATTCACAAATTCACTCTGCCGCTGACCTGAAAAAACACCTTTTCAGCCTCTTCAAAAGACAGCGCAATAGACTGGGCCTTCCGATTGCCGGCAAGACACTTGCATCACGTGCAGGTCCCCGACTCAATTCGCTGTAAAACTATAAGTAAGCCTTACCTCTGCAGCCCGCTTCTTCCCTTTCACTTCTGGTGTCTCGGCTTTGCCATTTCCAAGCTCAGTCTTCTCCTCGGTAGCACTCATCTTCGTAAATTTGTGAATTGAGGAAGAGCGTCGCACGTCCAACCCGAACGCCGGTACCTCTCAAAACGCCGGCTGGTGGCGCTGTAATCGCGGGAAATCCATTGCAGTATGGTTTCCATATAACCTGTTTATGATTATATTTGCCTATAATCGCGTTAGAAAACGCCGAATTTTTAAATTTTGTATTACCAAACCGTGCAGTTACTACGCATAGGCGGATCTTAATTATATTTTTTCAGCCGTCTCCGGCTTGTGGTTTTGGAGCAAAACACTCCCAGTTTTGGGTTAAGGAGTATATATCGTACGCGCAAGTTTCCGGTTTAAATGGCGGGAGGGGGTGGGTAAAAGGTGCAATGGTGGGGGGCAGAATGGCTCGCGTCAACCAAATACATATTTTCCGACCTTTGAAGATTCCCGCTGTCGTAAGAACTGTATAAATCGCACGGATAAGTGACTGGTCCGCGTTGGGAGCCGCGGAGTAGATGTGTGAGATTGCATAAGCCCGCGTGATGGTAGCGTCTCTCCGCGCACCACCGATATTTGTGTTGGTAAGGCTTGTGGGCGACCAGATCAGTTTTGTCTTGATTATTGCTGGGGTGTTCAGATAGTCAGCGGGGTAGGTGTCCCGCGGCGCTTGTTTCCCTGGTTTGGGGGTGCGTGTGGTCGGGGATCGGAATCGTTCACTGGGGCGTGGGGATGCTCGCATGTGGGGATAGTGCTGTGGGGGAGAATTTGCACTGTCATCAGCTTTTTTAAATGGTTGTTGAATATATTCGTCCTGCATTGGAAAGCAAACACGATGCTTGACTGCAGTATGCAGGTTGTCCTGGTTGATGTGTTAGTGCTCTTATTACTGTGAGGTTTTCATGACCAGGGAAGCTAAGCACAAAGGTGCCTATTTAGCTCATCTAGTTGGGTTTGGGGTTTTTCCATCCTTTCATCTGACTGTGTACCTTTGCTGTTTGTACCTCAAAAATGTTTGTACCCTTTGTTATGGAGCTCTACTAATTTGCCTGATGTTGAATGACATGGGATCCTAATTGGATAAAAAAAACTTGGAGGATGTACTTCATGAATCATTTTAAAAACAGAATTTTGGTGTCATGTTTTGGTTACTGCTTTGCTGGAGTTCAAGCAGGTTTTATCTCATGTAAGCATGTGCATTAAGTCTGCACTTCTGGTGCATATATTTTTTGGGATCAATAAGAGTAGTGACTATTGCACTAGGGAAATTTGTTTCCCCCATTCCTGGTCATGCAAAATCTGAAAAGGGGCTATATAACTATCGCTGACTGCCAGAGCCATTGCAAGTCCAGATGCATTCATGAGGTACTGTGTGGGATGAGAAAGGTAGTGGAGTGGCAGGGATTTAAACCAAGTACCGAGAAGTCCAGAGCCGAGCACCCAAACCGTTATACTACCACTGCCCTGTGTTGGCATGCATCATAAGTAATTGGGTTTTGTTTTAGTTCAGGGTTGGAAGTCAGTATAATCAGTGCCCCCCCACCCACACATGAAAAGGAATGCTGTATGCTGTGTATTGTGTGCAAGAGTCACATTGAAAAGCTCTGTAAAATATTGGTGGCCAAGCAGGATCTAGGCCAATAGCTGCACTCTATCAGCCTGCCTGCAACCTGTGCCTCTGTTGGGGATTTGGATTATGGGGCTCGTTTTCAATGTTTTGTCTTGCATTCTATTGCTGACAATTTAATTTTTTACTGTAAAACTCTGGCCTGACATGCTGCTTGGCATGTGCCAATGCCAAAGCCAATGCCTCTACAGCAGTTCTGAATGCCCCAGGTCTGAATTCATGCATTTTCCTAGGATGTGAAGTCGGGCTGTTGGGCAAAGTCCTAGATAAGCCTGCCAGGGAGCTCATTAACAAGACATGGATGGAAATAATGAGCCATGGGGTGATTGGGGAAAGTGTTCACTTCACTGTTTTTCCTCCACATTCACTGAGGGAAATTGTTGCCAGTATGTTCAGACTCAAACTGCAAATAATCTGCATGCTATCCCTTGGGTGACCAAAGCATTAATTATGTATTTGTTACCCATACCCAAATATTTTGACCAAGGTGTGCCATTTGCAGGAGAGGCTCCTGGCACCTGTGGTCTGCATCTTTGAGGGTGTTCTGTGAGTGACACAGCTGGGCAGGCGAGTGGTCGGTAGCGATGCAGCGAAGGCCGGCGCCATCGTCACCACCTGCTGCCGAGCCGGTGACTGAGCACCAGCCAGACACTCCCTGGGTCGGATGAGGCCCGCCATGACAGGGTCCGTACCACAACACTTCAAACACTGATGAGCACGGCTGGTGCGCAGCAGTGTGAGCCGGGCTGGGAGTCCGACTGGTGCTCCCAGCTTTTTCTTTGATGATTTTTCAACTGGCAGAGCTAGTCAGAGACTGGATGTTGTGCACTTTATGATGTAGTTATGGGAGTCTATGTGATCATTAGGTATACTGCACAGTTTGGGTTTCCACAATTTACTCTGTTTTGAGTAAAGTGCACTTTGAGACTGGAGCAAAAGGGCTTGAAGGTTTTCGCATTTCACATGACAGTTAGATTCAGAATATGCAAGTTTTGACTGAATACTTGGGTGCAAACATTGTACCTGTATCAAAATCAATTTGAGCGTCAATAATATGTATTGTGTGACTGAATCTGTATTGCCTCCCCCCCCGCCCCCCTCCCACATGAGCAATGCAGTCAAACATTTTTGTTTGTCCGGTCTGTCACGCACTCCCTCATGCAATCAGGACTAAAGGTGTATTGCACAGCTTATTTCCCAATTCTGAACAACTGAGTAGGCTTTTTAATGCACAACCCAAACATTTGGGCTATTGAAACAGATAGTGTTCAGGTCCGTGTGAGGTCCTGCAAACATGACTTGTATCTGCTCTGGAGTTGTCACTCTTCGGTAGTGTTGTGTTTGTGGCAGCGAAGGCAGGGCTTGCCGCGGCGCGAGTGGAATACGCGGGACCGGCCTGCTCGGGCTTGTGCTCTGTCCGTTGGCACATCGCCCCCGCTGAGGCAGTGGCCGCGTGTTCCAGCTGATGACGACCTCGTACTCGGAGATCTTCCACGGCGGCTCGAGCGGCCGGTCGAGCGTGTTGGAGTGCGGCAGCGACACGCTGCTCTCGCCTGACCTGTCGCCGGTCAGCCCCGACAGGCAGGAGCAGCCGCTGGCCGACGAGCTGGCGCAGCTGGCCACCGAGCCGGGACCGGGTCAGTCGGCTGACGAACGCGCCGCCGCCGCCGCCGCCGCCGGCCAGGCCCGGCTGGAGCGTGGGGCCTCGTGTGGCAGGAGAGCGGTGTTGGGAATCGCGCGCTGGTGCTGAGTCAGTTTGGTTCGATTGGGCCAGAGCTCGTTCGGGGTGGGTAGACCGTCGGAGGGTACGGGATAAAGGATGTAAGAAGTGCAGCCAATCCGCATTCGGTGCAGACGAGTCTTTCCATACAGAATACCCCGGATGGTTGCAGGTGTGGGACGATGGGGTGGTGGGCGCCAGTTAGTTCTCCCCGATGACTGCAGTAAATGATAAGACGGCCACGGACAAGCAGGACCGCGTTAAAAAATAGGTTCGGGGATGGAGGATGCTACACTCTCGTTACGCCATGCATGATGCGTACTTCGTACATGGGTGAATACGTGCCGTGCCATCCCGCGTCACGAGCCTCTGGCCGATGCAGGCATCAAGTCAAGTTTCCCATGTCCAACTCCTGTGCATGATGACAAGAATGGCCTGCTCGATTATCTCTAATGGGGGAGGTACATCGTCTACCTCTACTCCTCGAGTTCACACTGATGGGAACTGCTCCCTGAACGACGTTGAGAGCTGCTGCGTGCTTTGGTATCAGTTTCAGGCTTTGTACGAAGTGCGGGAAGCGCGGTGAGCGAGGTTTTGTTTCTTTCAAACATGGTCATATTAATTTTTCACTTATTCTGCTACTCTGCGTAATCCCCGCATCCGTACGCGAAGCAAGACTCGGCACCACTTTCACGCCACCTGTCATCAGCGGCGGCAGGCTACAGTGCGCCGTCGCGGCCGTCGGCGGCGCTGCTGGACGAGCTGGAGCGGGACGCGCGGCGGCTGGCCGCCTCGGCCGACGGTCTGATCGAAAGTCTGACCGGCACCATGTACAGCATCTCCTCGCTGGCCGTGGACGCCATGGACGCCTACCGCGATGCCGTCTGCAAGACCTGCGACGGCGTGGATGCCAACATTAAGGTGCGAGGGCCGACGGTGGTCAATGTTTCGTGGCGGCTGGGGCGATCCTGAGACCTGTGTGCATCAAGTTCCGATCGGCACCCAGTCCTATGTGGTCCGATTGGATACTGTTGAGCCATTGTACGAGAATTGGGGAGTGGCGCGGGCAGCAACATTATTGAAAAAATGATCCGGATTGTCGGCGGTTCTAAAACCTAGAACACCATGGCAGCATGCGAATAACTCCCGAGAGACGGCTAACAGGCCTAGAATTGCACAACAACTCCGTGTATTGCATAATGCTAAATGGAAGCTACGTGACTTCTCCCCCGCCCGTCCCTTATCTTTACCTCCCCGTAGGTATGCCTGGGTGGATCACCGGCCCGATCGGGTTGTCGTGAGCGGATCTCCCCCCTTGGTTGACCAACGCTTGGATGATCGCTTCGGACAGTGCTGGGGATCTGTTGCGGCTGGGTTTTCCGCCGTGGGCGTCTTCGTCGGCGGGCCCCTCCACGGATGAATCCACATCTGCGCAGAGCCCTTGTGTTTCGTGAGACCTGCTCCAGCCGGTCCGTGCCGCCGCCCGCCTGTGCCGCCGCTCGCTCGTTAAGCACCCGCCCGCCGCCCACCCGCCGCCTGCCCGACCGTTCACAACCCGCCCGTCCGCCGTCCGCCTGTCCATCACCCGACTCCGCCGTGCGCCCGGGCCGTCGCACGCCCGTCCACCACCCGCTCGCGGCGCCGCCCACCTGTCTACCACCCGCCCGTCCATCACCCGCCCGTCCACCGTCCGCCTGTCCATCACCCGCCCGTCTACCACCCGACTGTCCACCGTGCGCCCGGGTCGTCGCCCGCCCGTCCACCACCCGCCCACCGCCCGACCGTCTCCCGACTTTGATGCCAATATCGAAGCATCTTGGTACGGATGGCTTTGCGTGGACATGGGTGGTGCTTGCGGACTACCGCTAAAGCTCGCACAAATTTTCATCGTCCATGCGTATTATCAGCCGTAACCGCATCAACTGTCACCCCATGCTGTTTCGACTTGCTTTGAATTTCAGGTTTGGTTCCTTTCAGGAGGCCCGTTTGCCATGCCAGTCCTTGTTACTGCGAGCTTCTCACCACATGTTGGGACAGTTATGGCGGGGGGGGGAGGGGAGGGGGGGGGGGGTAGAAGGAATTAAAGGGAGCTTATAATTTCTAGGTCGCACAGAATGATCATGGAATATGCAAAGAAACAGTCCTAGTTCTTGCCAGCCACACACTACCAAAACTGCGTGCAAGTAGCATCAGGGGTATAGTTTCCTATTGATTTACGGGCACTTCAGCCCCCAACTTGGGTTCGAGCCGCCCCACTTTGGGAAGAAAGTGGGCTAAGTCTGGGAAGAAATCTCTTGGCATATCTTGGGGATAGGCTCGGTCATTTTACTCTGTTCAGCTCCCCCCCCCCCCCTCCCCCCCAACTCATTTTGTGAAACTACGCCCCTAACACGTTTGCCGACGTGGTAGTTCCTGAGCTCGTGGATCGTATAAATCGTTTGTCATTCATCCCTGGCAGAAAATGGTTTCGCGCCAAAATATGTCACAAACGCCATGGTAAAACTATTATGTGCATTAAACGCGAAGGCGGGTCGCTAATAGCCAGTTGGTGCCACTAGCGCAGAGCTGTTTTTATTCATATAGTATATCTGTATTTTGACTTTGATATGCATGTCCGTTGCCCGTGTAACGTAAATGCCAAGTGGCCACACGAGAGCCGATTTGTAGTTTATCTTCGTTTTCTTCGTGTTTTCCGTGATGGTGAACATTACGAATTTCAGTCAGTTATGCTTAATTTATTGGAGGTCACTACCGACTAAAGGCAAAACAAAACTTGTTTTCTCCGCGTGTTGCGATTCCAGTCCGTTGAGGCAGTATCGTCCCGAGCCCTGATTCACCCGTAGAAGAACAGGCACGAATTTGCGCTTCCAGACGGCTAATTTTCGTCGTAAACGCGACCGGAGCCGCTGGTGGGCGGAGCCTGCAGTTATGCAACACATGTCTAGAACAGTATTGATCGATTGGTGCACGTCCATAGGGCGATCAGCTCGCTGAATTGCAGCACCTGCGATACAACTGTATCCGAGGTTTACTTCTTTTGGTTTCGGCCGTGGCACGCAGTCACGCAGCAGGGCGCCGCTGTGGAGGGATCATGCTGAGCCGCTGTCCGCCTCGCGTGCCGCAGGCCATGTACCAGGTGATGGCCAAGACCGAGGAGCTCAACAAGACGGTGAAGCAGGTGCACCCGCTGGCCGGCCAGGTCCGCGAGGTCCGGCGGCTACTCGACCTCTTCGAGAGCGCGGTGACGGCTGGCAGCTGAGCGGCGGCGGTCAGCGGCCGGCCGACAAATGCCATCCTGCCGCGGCAGGCTCAGCGGATGGACGGCGAATGCCGTCCTGCCGCGGCGGCGGTCAGCGGCCGCCCGACGAATGCCGTCCTGCCGCGGCGGGCCCAGCGGACGGACGGCAAACGCCGTCCTGCCGCGGCGGCGGTCAGCGGCCGCTCGACGAATGCCGTCCTGCCGCGGCAGGCTTAGCGGACGGACGGCAAACGCCGTCCTGCCGCGGCGGCGGTCAGCGGCCGCCCGGCGAATGCCGGCTGTCGCGGCAGGCTTACGGACTGACACAAACAGCCGTCCTGCCGCGGCGGCGGTCAGCGGGCCGCCCGTCGAATGCCATCCTGGCCGTCGGCAGGCTCATCGGAGGGACGCAAGTCGTCCGCCGCGGCGGCGGTCAGCGGCCGCCCGGCGAATGCCGTGCTGCCGCGGCAGAGCTCAGCGGACGGACGGTGAAAGCCGTCCTGCCGCGGCAGGCTCAGCGGACGGACGGCGAGCGCCGTCCTGCCCGCAGCACGTGAAAGCCGTCCTGCCGCGGCGGAGGCGAGCGCCGCCGACGGCGGCTAAGCGGACGGACGGCGAGTGCCGTCCTGCCGTGGCAGGCTCAGCGGACGGACGGCGAGTGCCGTCCTGCCGTGGCAGGCTCAGCGGACGGACGGTGAGTGCCGTCCTGCCGCGGCGGCGGTCAGCGGCTGGCCGACGAATACGGCCACGAGTCGAGCAGGCAGAGCCGCGTGATGTGCGCGGAGCTGTCCGCCCCGCCTGTCGCAGATCGGACGAGTCGTGCTGCTCGGGATGAGAAGCTGGCGTGGTGCGCGTTGGGTTGTTAGATCCGCAAATGACGTCAACGCAGGGACATGGTCGCCTTTGTTGTCTATTCTGGGCCTGTTCACTCGTCCTGGCCGTTTTTGCGCATGATGTGATGCGTACCAAAGCTCAGGATGTGTCGTGGCGAGTTGCAATCGAGATGGTTACCAGTGTTATATATTTGTGTCAACTTTTCGTATTTGATTGTGTCCCCCCAGTATGAACTGCGATATTATGTGAACTTTTCACTTTATTTGAAGGGTGATCGCGTTTAAAACAGCGGCCACCATTGCTGGAGGTTTTTGCCAGCGCTGCAAGGAACAGTGACTTCGTGTACTGAATAAATTCATCTGCATATTGTATGAAAGCAGATCGAAGATGAACCGTTGTAGCGGCCATCATTTCCCGGGAGCACCAGCTCTGTCCTCGCACGCGGGCTCAGCGCCGTCACTGTCTGTGCTGGGGCGAGTGCGGCCTACAACCATCCGCACCGACGCATCGATTGAGCCCGCCGGCCGCAGGCAGGGGTGCGCAACGTGGTAGGCGGGTGCTTAGAGTCGGCGCCGCATCGTCACATCCGGCGGCTTTCTGAAGAAGACCGGCGCGCCGCGCTTCGCTCATCCAGACTAAGTCGACTACTTGTCTATGTTAGGAACGGCGCAGATCGTTAGCACGGCTTCCCCGCCAGTTAGCGCGTCGAGCGTGGAGCTCGGGCAGTGGATGCGGGTGACGGCTGGGTTGTAACGTCATTGGCGCAGGCGGCGGCGGGGACTGAGAGTGGGCGTGGGGAAATGGCCGAAAGTCGCCAGCCACAGCTGGTGCGTACGGGGACTGGGAGGCGAGTGGGAGCGTGATAAGGTCAGCCAGTTGCACTTGCCCGCCCACACCCTTTCACTAAATGTGTCAACGCACGTCTGTGGGCGTCGGTGATGCTCCGGTGGCAAGAGCGAGGCGTCAGTGGCGTGGTGCCGTGCGCTGGTGTCTGAATAATTTTACGCAGCTTTTACTTAGCAGTGCTTTTCTTCACGTTGATGTCACATATATTTTTAATTAAACACGGTCATCGTGAGGTATGTACCAGTGGCGCAGGCAGACGGGGGTGACACAGGGGGCAAGTGCCCCACCCCACCCCGCCGAACGTGCCATTAGGGGCCCAATTTGCGCTCCCGAAAGGCTGGCCGGAGGTCGTATTCAGAGGCCCAGCTCGCAGGGTCAGGCTACCCAATGGGCCGTTTGCGCCGATGGGGGTCCTTGAGTTGAGAAGGGCTTATATGTCGGTCAGACACCACCAGCACCGCACAGTTGGCTCGATATCGGCACGCGCTTGAGGCCCCATTTCTCAAACAGGAACAGAACTGGGGTCAGCGATTTACATTGGTTGGAGGTTCAGCGTCTGTCGAAGGCCCACAATACCTAGCAGGGTGCTCGAGTTGGCCAGAGGCAGTGCTCGAGGAGGCCCGAAGAGAACCTGCAGGGTCCACCGAGACCGACGGTCAAGGGCTCGACTGGAGGGCGTGAGGGCACGAAGAGCTTGTCCTAGTTTTCTTCAGGGACCCCGGCCTGTAAATACGGGCCCTCAGATGACAGAGGACCCTTTAAGCCGATAGGGACGCCTTGAGTTCAGGGCCTATAAGGGCCTAAGTGCCGGTCAGGAACCACCAGTACCGCACACTCGGCTCCGTGTCGGTATGGGTCTGAGGGCCCACTCCCCCAGCGGTGACAAAGCCGGGGCCAGCGACTTACACTGGTCGGGCCTCTGCATCTGTCAGGGGCCCACGGTGTCTAACAGGGATTCCTTGTTGGCAAGGGGCCCCGAGCCGACCAACAGCAGCATTCAATGAGGCCCGAAGAGCGGTCCGGGGCCCACCGAAGCCGACAATCAAGAGCCCGATTGGAGGGCATAAGGGTGGAAGGGCTCGCTGTAGGTCACATAAATTATCCCGGTCATATTATTATACTTCAGGTCACGCCCCGCAAGGCTGTGACCTGAAATATCAGTCAGAGGGCCTCTTGCACTGATTGAGGACCCCCTGAGACGATGCGGGCGTCTATGTTGGCCAGAGATCACCGACACCCAACAGTTGGTTGCGTGTCGGTCTGAGCCCCGGAGGCCCATTTTCCAAGCAGAAGCAAGGCCGGGGCCCACGATTTCCATTGGTTTGGGCCCCTGAAACGATGACCAAGGCCCCTGTGTCGGTTAGGGTCTGCAATGCCTAACAGGAGGTCATGTGTCGTTAGGTGGCCCAAAGTCCGTCTCGAGCTTTGTTCGAGGAGGCCCGAGAGGGGCCGAAGGGACCCTCGGGGCCAAAGATCAATGGCCCGATTGGAAGCTGAAGGGGCCGAAGGGCTTGAAGGACTGGCCGTAGGACACAGTAAGGACGGCCTCCCCACCCGTGGGACCATGGCCTCAAATATCAGTCAGAGGGTCTCTTGCATTCATTGGGGACCCGAGGGACAATGCGGATCTCCATTTCGGCCACGGATCGCCAACACCGAACAGTTAGCTGTGTGTCGGTCTGAGTCATGCGGGTCCATTTCACAAGCGCGAGCGAAGCCGGGCTTGCTATTTGAATTGGTCGGGGTCTCCGAAACAATGGGGGTGTCGGTCCGAGAAGAAACGATGCCTAACAACATGTCCTTTGTCGGCAAGTGTCCCCGAGTCGCCATGAGCCGTGTTTGAGGGGCCCGAAGGGTCCGCCGAAACCGAAGATCAAGGGCTCGATTTGACCCGGACCGACCCCCAACCAGTACCACCGTGACCCAGGATGTAGGCCAGATGGCTACTATAAGAGCTGTTAAGGCTCTCTATCCTTTTTATATACGACCTCGATACGGAGCCAGGGAGTCCGCTCCGTGCCGGTCTGAACCGTGTCGTCCCATTCCCCAAGCAGCAACAAGGCCGGGGCCCGCGACTTGCAATGTTTGGGATCCCTGACACGATGGACCGCTCTTGTGTCGCGGTTAGGGGCCCCAGTGCTTAACAGGAGACCTGCGCCGGCAAGTGGGCCCAAGTGGGCCAGGAACCGTGTTTTGGGGGTGTATGAAGATTGTTCCGAAATGTGTCTCGAGGACAAGGATCAAGGGCCCGATTAGAAGGCTGAAGGACCCGAAGGGCTGGCTGCGGGCCAGATTACGGACCTTCATCCGTAGAAATTTAATCTCAAATTCAGCTCAAGGGCCTTTCGCTCCTTTCGATAGGGGACCCCGCAGACTGTGCGTTTCTCCATTTCGGCTAAGATCACCAGCACCGAAGTCTGCTCCATGTCGGTATGAGCTCTGGGCTCTGGGCTCTCTGGGCAATGCGAGGATCCTGTGTTTGTCAGGAGCCCACGGTGCCTTAAAGCGTGTTCTGTGTAAAGAAGGGGCCTGGAGTCGACCAGGGAAACATTTGCTCAACAGGGACGAGGACGGGACCCAGAATGCCATAGGGTCTCTTGCGTTGGTCGTGACCCCTGGCAATAAAAAGAGCCTGAGAGCTTATGATGAAGGACCCCCAGTACCGAACGGTGGGCCCTCCAATCCGAATCCAGCATGGGCTCGTTAAGCTGAACTAGTGCCAATTATTATTTATTACGCGCAATTATATATTATGTGCCAATTATTGAACCATCTGGTGCAATTGCAAATCTTGTTGTGTCAGTGAAAGTTCCTGCGTCGATGCGGGGCCGACTGCGCGGGTCAGAAAGCCTTCCGCGTCATGGAAGAGATCAGTGCCATCTGAAACATGAAAAATCAATGAAATATGCCTCTAAGAGCCTCCGGATCAACCAGGGGATCCCATCCCCGTGTTACTAGAATGGCAGACTGAGGACAACCCGCGGTGGGACGGAATGACCCTCAGCCGCTGACCGGGAACGATAATGTGCCCCTAGTGTTCGACTCAAAGGGGCCCCTTGCGCGGAAAAAATAAGGAGTCTCATGAATGTTGAACTGAGTGGATCAAAATGAGCTAAAAAATGAACAAGGTCTTCCCAAGTTTGCCGAAGAACGTTCATTCTTTTGCAGAATTGACGAGTGGAACAAATTACATCAAAAGATATGAGCGAGCGCGCTCACAATCTCGAGAGCAAAAACAGCGATGGCTGGGCTAGGCGTGTCCGTATAGCTGAACGGCCTCGGCCACTGCAGATAACACCAGGCGGCAGGCGCCGTACGCGCGGGAGCGACCGTCGTGCAATCATGCTTCCGAATGTCTTTCAAAAAAAGCTCGTACTGTTTAAACATAAAACTGGGCGTATCTTTCTAACAACTTTGAGGCTGTTCTATGAACATGTTATAAGTAGAGCGACACGAAAGTGGAGATTCTGCCTTTACTCTTCCCGTTCCACCACCGGATTTCAGCACCACTTTGCTCGGTGCTGCGGACGTCGAACCGTTCTTGTCATCAATCGGAAAAATTGTACAGGTGAAATGCACGCCCGGAATACCATTTAGATGCATGATTTGGTGTCCTAAGACGTTCTAAGGTGCTCATTTCAAGTGCGGCATCATTTTCGTTCGCCCGTTAGCCGCGAGGCCGACGTTGCGCGGCCAGTGAAGACTTCAAGATGACTGCAACATGACTGCAGTGAACTCTGCCTTGCGTCGAAGCTTTTGTTGCAATTATTTGCGAGCGCGCGTGTTCAAAACTGCGTTACAAGATCTTCATCACCAAACGATTCTGACTGAATGTTAAAAACATTCAGGAGAAGATGAGTTAGTCATACTAACACAAATTTTTGACCCTCAGTACCCCTGTAGAGCCTATATTAAAATACTGGCCAAGCCTCTGATTTCTACCGGTTTAGAAGAAATCCGATGCATCATTGTAACATGACGAGCGTCGGTGATTTATTCCGTGCAGTCGCTCAACGCCCGATTTCTTCCAGTTTATTAGCGTCAAAATTTCAAACAATTGATTCTGTGGTAGCCCTTGGCTTCTTTTCCAGTTATATAAGGTAAAACTAGGTGCTAAAAAAATGATAGCCGTGCCTTTCATCAATAAATTGGTCATAACCGGCAATTTTTTTTTGGGGGGGGGGAGAGGGGGAAGGGGCGTTGCATTACTAAGGGTTCTTTTGAGCCCTGTGCCCCACTCCCTTGTCAAGGCTCTGGCTACGCCCCTGCGTGTGATGTACCAACCATTTAATTCACGTAACATAGATTTTATTCCGATCTGAGGTAAGACTGATGATCTGTTCGTACCATGAATAACTGCGCCAGTTAATTTGTGCAATTGCGCCAGCTTGCCGCCGGTTACGCGGTAAGCCCCCCCCCCCCCCATGCAAACACAGAGTTCCTAGCAATGCTAAACTTTCCTTTCGCACGGGCCGCAGAGGCAGCACCAGATTGGGGTCAGCGCCGAATTCCTGGCTGTCGCGCGATTCCCGGCAGCAGTCAAGCATGGAGCTGCGGCTGCAAAGTTTCGCGGTCTATCTCCCATCACATCGCACAGCACCGCCTTCAGAAGCTTGCGACCCAGTTCACGCGGTCTATTATTAAAAAAATGATGTGCCTGACAGAGGTCCATGCCGTCTCAAAGCATATACACCGTATAAACTAATGAAGTGAATGCGCACGCCCGAAGCACGTGGACTATGGCGGTGGCATCTATGGCGGTGACAAGTGACCAGGGACTGCTCACAGGCGGACGGCGTGCACGGGTGCAGGTCTCAGACGGTTGGCGCGGTGCCAGCCGCCACGTCTGTGCCACGAGCGTACTGCGATGAACGTCGACATTTGTGCGAGGATTCCTGACCCTCTCGTGTTGCTTGTCGCTTGCGTCAGAGTTGTGTAAGACTTGACGTGGGTTTCGAAGACGCAGGATTGTCTCAGGGCTCTAAGGCATCTCGGAACCGAGATCACGTCAATCCAACCGTTCATAAAAAGTGATCTTCGCTTCGAAAGACGCCTCGCCATATTCCTGACTGACACCTTGGGGGGCATGGAACTCTTTTGAGTGGCCTTAATTGCAGATGGTATTTTCAGACGCGCGTTAAGTGAAGACATTTCAATTATTCACCACACTTCGCTCAGGTCAAAAGATGCGTATCGCGCCCTCCGTACACGAACCTCATTGAGACCGGACGACAAAGGCTTGCTAGGAAAAACTTTGCCATCGGGCCACGCCGCGGTACTGGTTCATTCTCACTGGTTCCCGATTTCTATGCCACGAGCGAGAACCTACCCTCAAAAAACGATGTTCCGAGCAAAACGAGGTCAATGTATGCCTAGCGTTGTCAAATGGCTCAGGCGCGGCTGAGACCCGCGGACTGGAAACAGCTGGCGTTTGCCGCGTGCTGAGGCCACGCCGGGGTGACGATGTTGTCCCGACCGAAGGAGACCCGCATCACAAGCGGCACCGCCATGCTGTCAGAAGACGCTATCAGATGGACTCGACTCGGCGCTGCGTGGTCAGTAGGAGTGGGTAGCGGATTGAGGTCATTTGGCCAAGCGCAAACAAGCAGACCTATGTGTTGATGAGCAAGCAAGTCCTTGCTCAGCTTGATTGCATCGTATAGGAAAAGCACGCCGTAGCAAGCCCGTAGCCAGAATGTCCCTCAAGGTCAAGGGTCAAGCCTTGCCCGAATTCCTGCAAATTTGGACCGCATTCATGCAAAATCGCTCAATATCTGGTATCAGCCTATTGGCTCAAGGCCTGGGCTGGGGGTGGGGGGGGGGGGGGGGGGCACTGCCTCTGTGACGCCACCCCTAGCCACGCGATTGCTACCCCTGCGCTACAGGCGATGAGGCGTATCAAGTACCAATGGTCCAGTTACATAACGCAGTTTCATTTCCTTCCATTTGAGCAACATCTCAGCCCCAGAATGCTCAATGTTGGCACATACGTGACATCAGAAGCACGGTGCTTCGATGTGGGCAGGTGACACACGGCTGTTGCGACATTTGTCAGTGACTGTCCGCCCACACAGCTCAGCTGGCAGAGCGGAGTGGCACCTGGGCGCCAGGGGCAGACTGTGCTTGTCTGGGCTTGTCACCGTCACCGCCGACGTTCATTTATCGCAAGTAGCCCTCGATATTTGTGGCTCGTTTGACGGGGCAGCAATGTTGCTCGTGTTTCATGACAGCCTGCGATTCCGTTCGGATAGGAGGCCGTCGAGGCAGGCAGTCCTGCTACGCTGGCATTGCTCTTCTAAGGTAGTTAGGCTGGAGTCATCGCAGCCCGAGACCGTGATTTGCAGAATGCACCATTTTTTTTTGTTTTTTGGATCATAAGCGCTAGGCTGGCTCATGGTGCCGACACCATGCGGAGATATGTACGTTGTTAAGCTCGGCGATAAGTCAACAAACGGAGCTTTAGGTTGCCTAGTTCGCCGTTTGGAAGCGGACCGGTTCAGCGCTCGCTCGAGTCCAAAGCACGGCGTTACAGTTTGAAGCCCAGGTGCTTCACGACCGTCGGAGAACCAATCAATAATGCACGCAAGCCAACGGCATCGCGTGCGAGATCAGAAATCCGAGCCATCCTGAAAGGACTCAGGATATCTTGGCTCGTCAAGAAAAGCTGCTGCTTGCGCAGTGCAACTGTGAAGGTAACCTGTACCTAGTAGCCTCCGTCTAGCCATCGGACAGCGCGCGCTTTGAACTCACCGTGGGCCGATCCAACCGAGCTGATCTAAAACCTGACAATGCGCTGGAATTATCAAGAATTTCCTGAACCTTCCGAGGCGACATTTGCCAATCATCTACGAAAGATAATAATGAATTCATGCGCTAAACTTCATGCACATTTTGCGAACTTCAGCATCATCATTGTCTCACAACGACTAAATGCGTCGCGCGTTCAACAGCACAGCATGTGTAGCCCGCATAAATCCGACTGAGTGCGACGTGATTGCATCCCTGTCCTCTCCTGACGCTGTGGGAGGTGGCGTGTGCTCTCGCCAAACGATGACGAATGAGGATGTGGAGGTGGTATTCTAACCCTTCCACGTGCCACTAGTCCTAGCTGATGTGATGCGCGCATGCTACATAAGGAGTCGTGCTGATATCCGCAACGTGTCGACACGGTTACTTCCTTGCACACGCATGAAGTAAGTAGGATGCGAGACTCTTCTTAGAACAGCAAGAGACGAAAGCGGCAAGCAAATCGAGAGACAACATAACGGTGTGATACAGAAAAAACGCAGCCAGGCGACGTTCTCTTCCTCCACGTTTCACGTCCGATGAAACTCAGCAGCTGCCACAGTCGTTTATTTCACTCCATTGATGTAGTGTTAGATATGACATCGATCTCCGGGTGCTCGTCCCGTCACAGGTGACGCACATCAACTCCCCGCGTCGGCCGCCGCACACCAACAACCCACATCAACTCCCGTGTCGGCCGCCGCACACCAACAACCCACACGGCAATTTGGTTCGGAACCACGCCGTCCTTGAACGCCACCCACTCTTGCAGCACGCGGCCAATTTCGTCCGAAGCTTCGGTGCTGCGCAGCCCGCCCTTCGCGCGAAGGGCGGGCTGCGCAGCCGCGCCCCAGCGCGACCCGTGCATCCCACACCCCGCCGGGCAGCTGCCACGGTGCTGCTGCCGACGGCGGGCCTCCGTTCCCAGCTACGTCTACGCGCGCCCCACAGCCTGGCACCCGTGACCGTGCGATGAGCCCGCCGACCGTCACCACCGCCGGGTCGCGCCGACCGCGGCGCCGCTACACTACCGAATAGCCGCTATCTCGCCCGCCGTTCAGCCGTCTGCCCAGTCCGTATAAACGTACCAACGCTACCTACGTGTTGAGCAAGCCCTCGCGCCGGCGAATTTTCCGGCGCACGATTCAGTCCTTTACGAAACCGGTAGCAAAATAGCATTTTGATTTGATGGGATGCACCAAGACGGCACCGCTAGTCTCGATCAACCGCCCACCCCTGTCCGACCCGTGGGTGTGGGTGTGGGTAGGGTGGGGTGAGAGCAACACACGACCAGAGGCGTCAGCAGGTAATGCCACATGACAATGAATTCTAGGTGGCAGTACAGATGTTCACCAGCCGCAGGCCTCGGGCGTGTTCAGCACACATAACAGAGCTGGAGTTACACCTCGACACTGAGGAATAGAGTGCTGTGACTTTTGAATACCGTCTAGCTCTCCTCGAGACAATCTTAACACCACCTACATAGACTGAGGAGTGAGGGGACGAGTCAGAGGTTATCCATTGAGAAAATTTGCGGGAAAATAAAACGTTAGCTCCTTAATCTCCCCCCTATGTTGTGATAGTTCTTTTGTGACATCATCCCAATATGGAACATTGGGGACTTCATTTCAATTTTTCTTGCCGTCATTAAAAATATCGGGGTTATGTAAGATACTTGGAACCCGTGCACCTGGATTTCCATAGAATGCACCCTTGGCTTAGCCACTGCGCGTAATCTTTTCTCGGCGTACTGTAGTCGTGAGAACAGCGTTTGAGCAGCCATTTCGAAATTAAACGATATTGCTCATTCGAGGCAAGCACGGAAAAGCTGTCCCGAGGGACCAAGTTTTCATTTCGTTATCAGAATAACGAATTCTTGCTTAGGTCCGCAGAACCAGCCTTCCCGTGCCCACGTCAGATCAGCAATATCATTCAACTGCAACAAGACAGCCTTACTGCAGCCCAAACATTGAAATGCGGAGAGATACTTCACACAATCCCAGCTCAAGGAACGTAATCCTTCATTGACATACTTAGAAGCTTTTGATACCAAACATTATTACGTCAGTAGATAAGTACTTAAATGTTGAAAACAATAGCTGGGAGCCGTCATTTTTGTGCTTTACCGAGAACTGCAATATTGGGTGACTCTCCCCCTTGCGCAAATCCTAACCACGCTACCGCCAACAACCTGTCATATATCATATCGCTCAGGTATCACATAAAACATCGTTTTCACATTAGGAAAGAGGGGGTATTCTTTCTGGGGCACACCATAATCATTAATTCTTGACCTATAATTTACCGCTGTTAACTTGAAGTTGGACCTGTCTTCCGCCATCCCACAGCACTTATATCCCTAGCTGATCCCGGCCTCAAAAATAGATCACCACCGAACATCCCAGGGGGAACAAATCCAATGCATTGCCCACCTAAAACAACACCGAGCACATATATCGCCGCGATGAGCTAATTACTTTCCGGGGCGCATGCGACAGCCATTCATCACTTTCATATCCACGTCTTCATTTTCCAGTTTCATATCCAATCTACACGTGACAGGTACGTTTGGAAAGCACTACACATGATTACGACGGCGAAGCTTTGCCAGGCAGCAACACACCGACAGTACCATGCAGTAAGCAAGCAGGCAGCGCCACGTCTCCGATGAGCTGAAGTTCAAGGTTGGCATTCGGAAGCGGCAGTGGCCGCCGCCGCCCTCCTGCGGCCCGCGAGCGGCCGACTGCGCACCGCCGCGGACAGACATCAACCCCACCGCCGCCGCGACGCCTTCCTCTCGTTGGAGCGTGTCGACGGGCGCAAGGAGTCACCCGGTCGCCAAGACACGCGCTGTCCGCGTGAGCCTGTACGGACCGGCCGGCGGCGGCCGAGGTGGGTGACGCATGCCCGCGCCCCCAGACAGACAGACGCGGATCAGACGCGGCGCGAACACCAGCGTCCGGCACCGTCCGCGGACAAGACATGTCTCGGGCGCCGCGGGCCGGGCAGCCGACGCTCCAGACGTCGGCGGATCAGGCAGGCAGCGCCGGCTCTGGAATGGGGAGGGGTACGTGGACTGACAGGCAGGCCTGCAGGACATGGAAGCCGGAGACGATCCGGAGTGGGTGGAGAGAGAGAGAGAGAGAGAGAGAGAGAGAGAGGGATGGGTGGAGGGAAGGGGGCGGGATCTCGAGCAGGACTGCAATCGGTTTGGTGCGAAGCTGACTGCAACATATATCAGACGCAGCAACAGAAGATAGGCTTTGCGACCCGTGGCGACCGGCACAGGAGAGGCGAGATTATGGAGCAGCGGACAGTCCAGGCCGTCTGGAATCAGGAAGGGTCGCTCGGCTTAGGACGCGGGGAAGTCGCGACACAGGCAGCCGCAGCCGCCATGAAGCGGGCGGGAGCAGGCGGTCATGTGAATGACGCCGGAGACGGCGCGCGTCGCAGCCCCTGGCGAGCGCGCAAGACGCGGTGCCGCCAGCGCCGCCTAGCGGCACTGGCACGAATCCAGGCGCGACTGCAGCTCCTTGTTCTTTTTGGTCAGCTCCTCCATGGCCTCGCGCAGAGCGGCGTTCTGGGAACCAGGGGACGGCTGTCAGGGGAAGTCGCGTGCGTCGGGCCCCGGTCCTAGACGGGCAGGGTACTCCTGACCCAGGCGCGGGCAGACTTCGACGCAGCGCTGGAAGGCAGGCCAATGGGCACACTACGTTACTGGAGCCTGCGAGCAATCGTCATTGTGCGCATGGTTCTCGCAGCAATGCTCAATGTAGTCTTACAGGTCGCGATTGTCTGGAACAATGCACTGTCAACCTCTCCAAATCAATCTAAAACATGCGGCCTTCCAGCAGATTAATGGACTTCGTACATCCGTAAACGCGGACATACGGGACACAACTAACCAGGACACAACTAGCCAACAGCTTTTGTGGGCTATCGTGTCCGACTATCCTACTGTTATGACAAACAGTTCTCAGACTTGGCCAATATGTCTTACCGGGAACTGCCTAGCGGTCCCTGTACCAGAACAACCACCAGCCTGTTACCAGTCAGGGACCAGCTTGTTATCACGCAAGAGATCCGGCAAGAACCAGGATTCAGCACTAAATTAAGCACAGGGGATCACCAACAACCAGGAACAAGCCTAAAATTATGCTGAGGAATAGTAAAAATGATACTGTCCAGGGTACGGTGTTTGTACAGGAACCCAAAGGAGCCAGGAATCAGGGTCCAGCATTTGTGGAAGAATCCATGGGAATCTTGAGCTAGGTTCCAGGGTTTGCAAAACAACCAGAAAGCACCGCTATGGTCTGACAATTACTAAAGCACCTGTGGAATACAGGAACTAGAGGATGGTGCTTCGAAAGAGTCGATAGGAGCCAGGGTCCGGGGTTTCGTTTTCAAATCCCGGTGCAATCCAGGAACTAACATTGGAAACTAGGCACATGTCTGACCACCTGCAAAGTGGAACCAATCGCCTGCTTTAATATCGCAGTCGCGGCTAATAAAGGAATAATGTCACCAACTTTTCAGGAATGGCAAAGACGGCTTGGGTCACTCCATGAGACCACGATACAGTTACTGCCCAAACTTGAAGGAAGAAAGAATGTATTAAAAACAGATGGAACGGGGTACAAGCCATCAGCGTATCGCCTAAGTTGCTCCCCCCCTTCCCCGCCAATGTCACATTCAGTGCGTGTAAACTACCCTGGCGCCAGTCTTGGACCTGAGCTACACGCATGTGTGAAATAGCAGAGGAAAGTTTACATCACGCATGACAAATGTTGACATCTGAGGGGAGAATCCTGGAATGCAGAGGAAATAAAATTTTGCAATATTTGCAAAGGCTCCCAAGCTGTCCGCCCAAAATCACTCGAACCAATTTTCTAAAGGAAAAACCAACCGACACCAAGCTGCTGCAAGCTGTGGCTCGCCTCTGGACGCCGCCGATATCGCCGTGCCCTCTCACGACCCCCTGCCACCAGCTCGTGCACGTCCCTAGACCGTGCGCACCTCCTTCTCGAGGAAGTTGGCACGCAGCACGATCTGGTTTTCCTTGAGCCGCCGGGCGTCGCGCGACCGCTTGGCCGCCGTGTTGTTCCGCTGGCGGCGTGTCCAGTACTTCTGGTCCTTACGCTCCTCGGGCACGACCTGACGGCACACGGGGGTCACGGAGGTCACGGCGAGGCCCGACATGTCTCCGAAGGTCACGGTCGCGCTCCCACACACAGAGGGCGGCGAGATCACGGCTCTGGCGCGGCGAGCTTTGATCCGGTGGGCAAAACAGGAATCCATCGCTCGGTTTTCTCGAGATGTCTGATGCACGATGTAACTCACTGTTACAGCGGAGAGAGACGATGGGATGGTTAATTTGGGGCATCAATGTTCAACTTTGAGTCGGGTGGAGCAAAGACATTCTGGAACTTGTTTCTACAGTCCACCGGGATTTGGTCTCCAAACAGCTTAAGAAGGCCCGAATGAAGTACCGGAATTCAAGGGTTTACACAATTGTTCAAAAGTTTGCAAAAATAGTCGAATTCAACTCCCTTCTAAGCAACGAACACCGTGACCCACCAGCCTCCGTGAAAGTCGCTTATTTGAAAGGTACGTCACGACACGACACCACAAAAGCGCGCTGCTGCGAGAAATCACGAGCGGCGTCTTATGACTTAGCCAGGTTCGCCTCCCGTTACGAACTATAGTATAGCGGCGAATCTTTCCCTCAAGACTTCAACGCCGACTCATGACAAATGCACCGCAGCGTGGCGTTGCGCGATGACCATAAGACGCACTGCGAGCGTTCTCGTTGGCCGCTCCCAGTGAGCACGACGTGGCTCCGCATCGCTGCGCTCCAATGATAGGCCGGCAGTTGACGAACCGCTCACGTCCGAAAGAGGTAGCCCCAGCGCAATGACGTATGGCATGAAATAATTTCCCCATCTGGACTCCACAGTGATCCAAGTGATGGCACGTGTCATGACTCAGGTGTACGTACATAATGCATCAAGTACAGAGGTTTAGCGTGCTATTTTCCCCCGCCGACCAATGCGGAGGCCAGTAGTTTCTTTATCTTTGCCTTCGCAACACCGAAGCCATAAATATTTCATGAGGTGGCCGTTCACTTCGTCTTTTTCGGCAAAGGTCACATCTATAGACTTAATTTGTGGCAGCGCTTTCTCATAAAGGCGACGAGAGAACTAGGGTAACATGAGAAAAGAAGATCGAGACAATTTCCTACGACGCTTGTGAAGCGCATTTCCCGCGCTCATGTTTGCATGCCAGACAAATGAGACAACCGACAGCTTGCTGGCAAAGATAGCTGAACTTGCGCGCCCAAAATACTGAGGACACGTTTTAAATAACAAACCAATATATTCCCCTCGATTATCATAGGCGTTTCAAGTGAAGTTTAAAGCATGGGGTTACAAAATGACCACCTGCATCCGCCTTCAGAAACAGACTAGGAAGGCCCGAAGACTTCACCAGTCTTCACAGTGGACAGCACCAGTCTGTACCGTGGACAGCACCAGTGTTCACCGTGGACAATACCAGTCTGCACCGCGGACAGCACCAGTCCCAACACGGACAAAATGCTCGCACCAACATTGCACAACACCACCAATGCACATCCGCCCTTTGCAAAGCGGTAAGCAGACAGGGTAAGCAGAGGGCACATAACCGCGTGTCTAAAAATGACGCCACAAATAAAAAATCGTTGCCATAGGCCTACAACATGCCAGGGACGGCTCTGATGCCGTCATAGCCCGCACGAAGACCGATAAGTGAAAAGATTCAGCGCTGCAACAAAGTGGGTTATATAAGAGGCAGCGCAGCTGGGGAAACCCGTATATCACGGCGCAATCGGGCGGCTAACAATAACTAGGATCGCCTTGACCGGGGCGTCGGTCACGCAGGGCCGTCGCAAGCGCTGGCTGGACGTCCGCTCCCGGACCGTTTCCAGTGCGCCACCTGTCATTACCGCACTGCACGGCTGAGCAGACCGTGCCCGGGCAGTGCTGACGGCCAAGGTCCCGACGGCGCCAGCGCGATGACGACAAAACCGGGCGCGGCTGCAGATGTGCCATTAATGACGGCAGCGCGAAACTAACGACCCGGAAGCGTTTCACGGAGCCCTGCCGGGAACTCTGGCTGGCCAGGCTGGGAGATGCGACGGAAGTGCGAGAGCTTGGAGGCTTCGAGATCTCGGAATTCGCATGACCCGGAGCTGCACAAGGTCGCGCTGGGTGACGGCGGGCTGTCGCGACTAGCTGACACGGTCTGAGAGACAAGGGTCTGGGTGTCGAAGGCGATGAGGGGCTGCCCAATCCGAGTGTGGTGGACGATCGTGCGTGCCCAAACAACCGGCAAAGTTTCTTCCAAAACTTGCACCCTTAAAACCCACACAAGAACTCAGGCGTCGGTGAATGCTTTGCGACAGGACCACGTCTCCAATCGGCCGAAACTCGCCAACACTGTCACTGCAGGTCACATGGGTCACCGCATGCCACAGACCGGAGGGTCCACCCGGGTCGGTAAAACAAACGGAAAAATGGATCGGAGAAGCGCACCAAACTGGGGCGGACAGGGACGGTCAATCGCGAGACCTCACGAAACTGGCGCGGTCACATAACACCAATCGTATCGACTTTGACCAATCCCGCACCAGAGCAAGGCTAGAAAACCCAGATCCCCGCACACGAAGTTGATCGGGATCCAATCCTGCCCCACCCGACCCCTCCGCGCCGCCCCCTCCTCTCCGCCCGTGGGTCGAGGCGGAGCTTCTTCCGCCCCGCCGCACCCAGCCAGCAGCCGCACCTGCCGGCACGCCCCCTCCCCCGTCGGCGTCGTGCCGCACCAGGCCGTCCGGCCGACCGCAGATTGCGCTATTCACAGCCGTTCACGACGCGCCGGCCGCCGGCGTGGACGGCAGCGGGGGGAGGGGGACACACGGCCGCCACGGCCGCGCAGCCGTCGGTTACATAACGTGCGGATACGGCGGCCGGCCCGTATCGCCCGCTGGCTCGGCCTGTGTTGGCGCCGGGCGGCGCGCCGACGGCCCCAGGTGGCGCCGCGTGGGGAGACGGGCCGCTGACAGGACACGTGCACGGCCGGGGCTGGCTGGCCTGACCTGACCTGACCTGACCTGACCTGACTTGACCTGACCTGATCGCACCTAGGCCTCGGCCGGCGCCGGGCGACGCGCCGACGGCGGCGTGCGGAGCACGTGGCTCGCGATGACAGCCTCAGGATGCGCCGCGTGGGGAGACGAACCGCTAACAGGACACGTGCGCGGCCCGGGCCTTGCCTGACCTGGCCTTCGTCGGGCGGCTACCGACTGGAGCACCGCGCCGGCTCGTGAGACGCGGATGCTACGCCGGTGCACGAGGTCGGCGGCCGACCGCGGCGACACGCGAGGGCGGGGTGGGAGTCTGGGCCACAACACTAAAGGGCCATTGGCCATTGGCAAGAGATGCCAGAACGGGAGCGGTCTTTCTGGTGGGGTCACGCTCCGAGGTGTATGCACTGCAAACTGGGGCCAATGTAACCGACTGTAACTGTTACTGTAAAACGACCCAACAAATTGGCTTGACGGGAAGCAAGAATAGCCCTGAGCGGTTATTGTGGTTTTAAGACATTATGAGCCCTTATGTTGAAAGTGAACAACCCATTAGACACAATCTCATACCATATCACCATTTGTTTGAAATCTGCTTTTAACCATTAGTTCCTAGTAAGGGTAAGCCGAAGGCCGGTTATTTCCAGAAAAAATAACTTTTCACACGCGTCCAAAAGTCGAGCGCGAAATCATTTGTGACAAAGGACCTGCCCATCGTGACTGAACACAGATTCATCATCATGCTTTCCAACATGCTCACACCCGAGCGCCCGCTAACGCGATTTAAGATTGTTGATGAGTTTGTGGTGGATACAAATAACAACAAAGCAATCATGTTAAAGCAACTGAGAAAAGCAATGAAAAGCGCCAGAATTGAGCGACAACTCCATGCTGGTACTACAACCGAAACCATGTAACATTTATTTCGGTGAATTGCTTTCGAATTAGTTTTCCTATTTTAGGAGTGCTCTGAAGTTAGTTAAAAAGATAGAAGCACAAGTAACAGAAGCTGACCCGTTTACAAGCAACATAAAAGGCGCATTTTATTTAAAGCAAACAGCAAGAAGTCGTGGCTGAATGTAGCATTTGGTTGACCGCTAGCCCATTCCCAGTCCCATATCATTACGGCTAGGGTCAGAAACATCTTTGCATTCATGTGGGACTGGTCCGGTTAGTTGAACTGACACGCTCCACGTACGTTTTACTGAAACTGAGGGGGAAATGCAGATGTTAAACACACGACCGCTTCCTTGTAGATGAGTAGTGCTTGTAACTGCTGCAAAGAGGATATGCTTAATGGCGAAGGTTCCATTGTGCAGAAAACCGATTATTCCTTGACTGCTTTCCTGCATAGCAGAAAAGGACGTTTCATATGAAATCCGAATTAGTACTATGAGAAAAAATGTATTTTAGACGGACCATTCGGGAGACCAATTATCATCGTTTGACTGCATTAGCATAAGCACTTACGCGGGATCAGACAACGTCAGGTTGCCCTGTCGAAATATGTGTCCAGAAAGCGAGATTTCTTTTATCCAAGTGGGAAACAAAGCGTCATGCGTCCGCCACAGCAAGTCAATGCTGCCAACCATAGAGGCATGCAATGTCGAAAATAACGCACCAGAGGGAATAGATGCTTATGTACAACGGCACCAACTCATCGCTAACGGGAGATTCCGGTAATGAAATACAGTCCTTAAATACAATTCGTGCCCGCGAAAAAGGTCAGTGTGATAGTGATGGCGGCACTTAGGTTTTAGATACACGCAAAAGGTGATCCCAATTCTATCCCAAAACTCAAATCCAGTTTTCGTAATGTTATTGCAGATTTCTCGACCAGAAGTCTCATACAGAGGCCAAATAATCGATACGTATAAATCTTCGCAGGCGTGTTGCTACTACATTCTGGTGGCAATATATTATAGTCCAATTCATTCGTGATTTGTCCATATTATTGAGGAATGACGCACGAGAGCTCACTGATGCCAAGTGATGCCGATATGGCGCGGTTTTGATGCCGGGGACGTACCGAATTCGTTATTGGTTTAGCCGTGTGCCATCAACAATAGACTAAAACATCATGAAACGTGCGAAGAAGTAAATAACGCTTTAGCAAGCTCTTACCCTTCCTTAAAGTCGGTTAGATTAGTGTAGTGTCCTGGAATGGCTTTCTACTTGAATGGAGAAGGTGATGCTACCATTCACAAAGAGGTGGAAAAATTATATCATCGCTGACAAGTTCAACGCCACAAAATGGACGTTGAAAAAAGATGGACGATATGTTTGACTACTTATCAGTTGTTTCCTATTCCTTCTTTTTCGGGCCTTAATTCCCTTCTTATGGCATGGTTTCCCGTCCAAGTACAAGGATATTTTGCCCAAATTAGGATTTTCATCGCGGTCACGTGTGTTGTTTGTGCTTTGATGCCTGCCCGTGCAAGTATATGACTAATTATCATGCAGCCTATAACTACGGCGAAGGCCCTAAAGGGAAGCATCTAAAGACTGAAGTGAGGTAAAAAAACAACGTGGTGTGGATGTCCACCCAAATTTTTAGATTTCAAGGTACCGTATCCATGCCGTTGTCTTATACCCCTTCCATAATGTGCTCCTTTCCTTTTGAGGCCGTCCTATATGACGTTACGTGTCGAGGGGGTTAGGAAGTTTTGATGGGGCGAAAACGGAGTGAAGCAAGAGGAAGGGCGTAGAAAATGCAACCTCGCACTCCGGTGTCATTGCAAATCACGTTAAGTCATTTTTTAATGTATTAAAACCTTCCAACCGGATACCGTTGGAATGTTATCCGGACCAGCAAGTCGCCCCCTTTGTCTGGCATCTCTAGCTCAATGAGGGTGCAAACGGATGCCACCGCTTTCGGACGAAACGTCTGACATGGGGCAACCATGGGAGGATTTTTTCGCCAGCGTGACCAGTGCATAACCAGGGTATAACTAGTCTAATCAGGGGTTCAAAATGGCAACATGATGAATTCATTTCCAATGCCTTCAACGTGCCGGTGTCATCTCAGGCCATCACGTGGGTTTCAGGACAAAAACACGAACGGGAAAAGTAGGTCTGCAAGAATCATGTTCACAGGCGCTCGTAAACCAATGTACGTAAGGTGTCTATGGTATCTATGCAATTGTCACGCTCGACCGCCGCCTCCTGCCCCTTCCTCTTCCCAGTTGACGGGATCTGGTGAATCCCGCAGTGACCGTTTGTCCGACGCCTGACACCAGGCATGGAGATTTGCATTCGAACTTGCAGCACGCATCATCACACGATCTTTAGAACACGCAATTCGCAACACGAAATTTATCCCTCACAAGCCCTCACGTACAAAATTTGCGTGCGTACATCTCATAACGAAATACGAGCTTTTGCTTAGGTACTTCTGCCAGACAAACGTTATCCTTAACTAGCACTTGTACCTTAGCATTTGCGTAGTAACAATTTGTTACCATCTTTTTTAAACGAGCTTTCCCGACGAAAATTTTATCCTAACATCCCTTTCCACACGTGGTTTTTCCATTGCGAACTCTTGCCTTTACCAACTTTGTATCTCACGCATTTCCTCCTGGCGACGTTTTGGCATACGAACTTCATCCTGGGAACGACTGCCACAGGTACTTTTTCTAAACGTGCTTTTGTTCGTCTGGTGTCATATCCTCTATAACACATACACCTGTACATCACACCTATTTCAATATTGTGGTTTGAAGCCCGCGCGTCGTGTTATAATCACAGACAGACAAGCTGAATCACATGGCACAGTTGAGGAGACGTCTTTGGAGGTCTCCAGACATAGTTAAACAAAAGACCAGAGACCTTCTGAAGCATCCAGCGGCTCAACGTGGTCCGGCTGGAGAAGCCCGCAGCGTCTGAATTATCCCCCTGGGCTAAGGTCCTGGTGGAGCAAGGAAGGTGGAGCAAAGGAATTCAGCGAAGGTCCTGCGGTCTTGGCACGGGTCTTCGTCGGACTAACAATGAGCCAACCAGTCCTCCCTTCTAGATCGCGCAACCCGACGAATCCGTCAATGGCGTCATCCCGGGAGGTCGGGCACCAGCCGCCTGGCCAACACGACTGCTGCCGTCACAGGCACAGTGTGAGTGGGTACACTACTACATTCCCCCCCCCCCCCCCCCCAATAAGCGGGTGCCAGCGAGTTGGGAGACTGACCTGTTTCTTGGACTTTTTGCACATGGGTTGCGGCTTGAGCTCCTCGTCGGAGAACTGGTGCGTCTGTGGGTCAAACTCGACGCCGGGCATGGTGGCCAGCGCCAGGTCGGTGGGCGACACCTGGAACTCGACCTTGACCTTGACCGCCGACTCAGCGGCGGACCGCTCCTGACCTGCGACACCAGGCGGGGAGGGGATCAGACAGCAGATTCGTGGACACGAGCTGACCGTAACCAGCCAAAGACTACTGACACAAACAAGTTCATCCTGACAGCTGGCGGCTCAGCTGTTTACATGTACATAATAAGGACACTGTCATACCGCTTTTATCGCATTGTCGAAGATAACGCATGATAAGCTGGCCACTATCTGCTCACAAATTTGGTCCCGCCTGACTTGATATTTTGCAGTAGGTTACACAATTTGTTGAGACCGCCTGCTTACTCTATTCCCGTGGTTTTATAAATCAACTTAGTAGTACCATGAACTTCAAGCCATGATAGCATGGTGACAAGAAAACAAAGCTACAAACGACATCGGTACATTTCGAAAATGGATGGCAAAGCAAGCCTCACTTTCCCTCATTTAAGTGAGCCTTGCTACCCTTTCCTACCATCCAGGCAACAGCTTGTTCGTTCCCATCTTTACATGCCCGCCTTAGACAGACATATGCTCGATCCACTACAGAGCAGCGCTCTCGCTCGGCGTCGACAATCACAGCGCATGACACTTCACAATGAGCTTGGCTCTTCACCCGGTTCAGACGTTCCATCACAACGCATTAGGGGACAGGATCAAAACCTGACATCCCCAGGGAAGCACCTCTCCGACGCATCCGGCTGCCCCCCCCCCCCCCTCCCCTCTCCGACGCGTCCGGCTGCCCTCCCCCTCCCCTCTCCGACGCGTCCGGCTGCCCCCCTCCCCTCTCCGACGCGTCCGGCTGCCCCCTCCCCTCTCCGACGCGTCCGGCTGCCCCCCCTCCCCTCTCCGACGCGTCCGGCTGCCCCCCCTCCCCTCTCCGACGCGTCCTGCTGCCCCCCCCCCCTCCCCTCTCCGACGCGTCCGGCTGCCCCCCCCTTCCCCGCCGCCGCCCGTGCCCGTACCGCCACCGCCGTGATAGGGCTCCGCCGGAGCCTCGGCCGACGAGCTGCGTTCGTGCAGCTCACGCGGCGGCGGCGGCGGCGGCGGACACGCCTGCTGCCGCTGCTGCGGCGGCTGCTGCTCCTGCTGCTGCGGCGGCTGCGACGGCGGCTGCGGCGGCGGCTGCGGCTGCGGCTGCGGCGGCGGCGGCGGCGGCGGCGGCTGCAGCGGGGAGAGCGCCGCGCCCTGCGGCCCACCCCCTGGCAGCGGCAGCGGCGGGCTGGGCCGCGGCCGCAGCGATGCCTCGTTCTCGTTCAGGAACTCCTCCAGGTCGGCATACTCCAGCTGCGGAGGGCGGCTGTTGTCACGGCGGCCAACGCAGACACGACAGCAGGCCCGTCAACGAGCTGGAGCACTGCAAACCACCCTTCCGAGTGAATCTGTACCAGGCGGGCCCTAGTATCGTGATTTGCAGGAAGGGGGCTGCAACTTCACTCTAATGCATACAATTACATCGTGACATGCACACCAAGCACGAGCACATATGTCACGTTCATTGCAAATCATATTTACCACAAGCCGCCACCCGCGTTTTCGTAAAAGAGAAAGTGCGATAAAGGGGAATACAAATCACGACCCAATAAGAGGTTCCTGTGGCACGACCCCATTCCCCTGTCATACGTCGTCACGCCATGACAGCCACTATGGAAACCTCCGACAACAAACCCGCCGACATACGATTTCTACGCCATGTAACTTCCATAGCCACAACTTCCAGACATAGCTCCCACGTGACAAAACTGCTACGCAGCGTTTCTTCTACACTGCAGCATTACTGCAAGACGAAACATGAAACTCGCTTCCTTGCTCCTCATTTTGTTCCCCTGACTGTGACTTCTGATGTCCTTTAGACAAGTGAATGTGAATGACCACCGTGGTTTGGTCGCATAGTGATAAATGAACTACGCCATGAGGTCTGTCAATAATCCATCAATCATGTCATCACCCTAGTAAGTCCAGAGTCGTTTCATACCCGACGCATCCAAACTAGCTAACAATTCCTTCAATCAGCTTGACAATCCGTCCATCCATGTAAGTAATTTTGAACTGAACACCCACGAGTTATCCTTTGTGTGAAGCCGTTTGTATGGTTCACGTAGCAGTTGAAGACTGCCACGTGAACCATACAAATGGGCGTGCATCTTCGAAACGTGTGGCAATGCCCAAACGCTGCCTCTTCTGGCATCTCTGATATTTCCTCTTCTGCTCATCTCGGTGGTGCCCGCCACCCTCGGCCATCGGTCGGGTCTGACCCGCAATCGTCTGACCACACAACAATGCACAGTCCGTTACCCAACGCCTGACCAACACCGCCAACAAGCTCCAGCGGTCGTTCACCACCGTACTGCACCAAGGACATAAATGGCTTCAAACATGTCTATCAGTCACGCCTCGCTGTGTCCCATCACTCCGGAATATCTCTAAATCTCATCATCCCTCACCGCCTGTGTCTCATCACTCTTGACCATCCCTGAGTCTCACTATTCCTGACTGTTTGTGTCCCATCACTCCTGACCATCTCTAAATCCCATCATCCCTGACTGTCTGTGCCCCATCACCCCTGACCATGTCCAAGTCTCACCATCCCTGATCGTCTGTGTCCTATCACTCCTGACAATATCACTCACCGTCCCTCACCGTCTGTGTTCCATCACTCCTGAACATCTCTAAATCTCACCATCCCTGACTGTCTGTGTCCAATAATTCCTGGCCATCTCTAAATCTCACCATCCCTGACTATCTGTGTCCCATCACCCCTGACCATGTCCAAGTCCTACCATCCCTGACTGTCTGTGTCCCATCACTCCTGGCTATGTCTAAGTCTCACTCACCATCCCTGGCTGTCTGTGTCGCATAACCTCGGACCGACCCTGGATCGCACCAGCCCCGAGCGTCGACTCCCTGACACACGCATCCCCCGCCAATGGAGACCACCCACCGTCACATGCCCCCACCACCCATGATGTCAACTTCCCTGACACCCACGCATCCACCGCCAATGGATCGCAGCCCGACCGTCACACTTTCCCCCTGACCACCACTCATCACCAGCCACCGCCAATGGATCGCACCAGCCCCGACCGTCACACTTCCCCTGACCACCCACGCATCCCACCGCCAATGGATCGCACCAGGCCCCGACCGTCCACACTTCCCTGACCACTCGCTCACGGATCACCAGCCCCGACGTCACACTCCCCTGACCACCACGATCCCACCCATGGATCGCACACCCTACCGTCACACTTCCCCTGACCACCACCCACGCATCCCACCGCCAATGGATCGCACCAGCCCCGACCGTCACACTTCCCCTGACCACTCACGCATCCACCACCAATGGATCGCACCACCACGCCCCCGACCGTCACACTTCCCTGACACACTCACGCATCCCACCACCAATGGATCGCACCAGCCCGACCGTCACACTTCCCCTGACCACCCCCACGCATCCCACCGCCAATGGATCGCACCAGCCCCGACCGTCACACTTCCCCTGACCACCCACGCATCCCACCACCAATGGATCGCACCAGCCCCGACCGTCACACTTCCCCTGACCACCCACGCATCCCACCACCAATGGATCGCACCAGCCCCGACCGTCACACTTCCCCTGACCACCCACGCATCCCACCAGCCAATGGATCGCACCAGCCCCGACCGTCACACTTCCCCTGACCACCCACGCATCCCACCGCCAATGGATCGCACCAGCCCCGACCGTCACACTTCCCCTGACCACCCACGCATCCACACCACCAATGGATCGCACCAGCCCCGACCGTCACACTTCCCCTGACCACCCACGCATCCCACCACCAATGGATCGCACCAGCCCCGACCGTCACACTTCCCCTGACCACCCACGCATCCCACCACCAATGGATCGCACCAGCCCCGACCGTCACACTTCCCTGACCACCCACGCATCCCACCACCAATGGATCGCACCAGCCCCGACCGTCACACTTCCCTGACCACCCACGCATCCCACCACCAATGGATCGCACCCAGCCCCGACCGTCACACTTCCCCTGACCACCCACAGCATCCCACCAGCCAATGGATCGCACCAGCCCCGACCGTCACACTTCCCCCTGACCACCCACGCATCCATCCACCAATGGATCGCACCAGCCCCGACCGTCACACTTCCCTGACCACCCCAGCATCCCACCACCAATGGATCGCACCAGCCCCGACCGTCACACTTCCCCTGACCACCCACGCATCCCACCACCAATGGATCGCACCAGCCCCGACCGTCACACTTCCCCTGACCACCCACGCATCCCACCACCTCGGCCTGTCCCTGGGCGACGTCATCCGAGCTGTCTGTGGCCAAGGGTCGGACGACGTTCGCATATTCCTGCCGTCGGCGGAGAGCTCGCCAACTTATTGTGAGGCTTCCGCGGGTCAAGCGGCACTTGCGGTCGACCCAAAAGATCAATATGGCAGACGTCTGATGTATGGATTCCAGGCTTGTGGCTACCAGCGGTACAAGTCTCCGACGGTCGGGTTCAATTCGATTCCCCTCAACGCGTTCGCACAGGGTTTCATATTACTAAGCGCCCCAGCTTTACCACCGCTGTTGCAGCAACACAAACGGTCTCGGTCTGTTGAGTAGATTGTAAGTGTTTCGTTTCCGAGGCCGAGACCTCGGGCGCGGTATCACATTTTCCACCGCGATGGAGGCCCAGCGAGGGCGCGGCTGGATCTGCGTTACGTAATGATGATGATGCCAGTCCTTAAACACGACACTCAACGTTGTAACCATAAGACAGAAAGCGGAGAAGTTCCATCGGTGGCATTCTCGTCTGCAGTCGGCTTACCGTTCAAAATTTGCAACAAACACAGGCAATTTCCGACCATTCCCCACGGCTTTCATTTCATCCATCCCCACCCCCGCCCCTCCCGCCACCTGAACCGGCGGGCGGCGCGGCGCGGCGGCGGCGAACGCGCCGCATCAGCCGCCCAGCGGCGCGGCGGCGGCGGCGGTCAGCGCAGCCGGTCTATTCCAGTCCAGCGGCGCCTGCCGTTGAGGCGCGGCGGACGCGTGGACGGCACTATCCTGCCGCCGCTCAATACCCGACACCGGCCGACGCGACGCCCGGCGCTCAGTACTCAGTGCTCGCCGATGGCTGACGGCCAGCCAGACAGGCGGCCTACTTCCGACGCCTCTGCGCACGCTCAGATACGTGCAGGTCTGAGAGGCGCTGTGTCTCAAGGCGAGACCGCGAGTGACGGCCATCTGGGTGAATATTAACATCGGCAGGGTGTAGTGCATGCGATGACACGATTCGTGTTGTGTGTTCCTGAAGCATGGCATGGTCCGCATCAAAACTTTTCAAAACTTTTACATGACATAAGTCCATGGTAAAGACCAGGGAAAGACGGCTCAAAACACCATGTAAGCCGCTGATGATGTCCGGAACGTTCACTTGTGCCAACAGATATCAATCATTAGATATCATTCATAATCGAAATCTCTATGTGCAGTCCATTATATGGGTACTTGCACAAGCCCACTCGTAGGTCATTTCATAAATATCCACCAAATATTAAAGGGCGAGTTCCACATTTACATGAGGTTTTGAGCTGAAACAGCCGTCTTAAAGATCATTCCGTGCATTTATCAGCCCCGTCCTTTTCAGATCTAAGCCACTCTAGTTTCTGAGCTACACGCCCACGAAGATGTGCATGCTACTTCGGGGATACCATTTCAAGGTTACCCAAGCATCCGTGACGTCAAAACAATGCATTTCCTGCAATTCCTGAATTCAAATCCCGCAATTGCATTAACCATGCCGCGATCAAGCATAAACAATGTAATCGTCGAGTGGTTCTTATTTGACGTTCGTGGTTACAATTTCTGGATGTAACTGCCGTCAGTTAGCTCTCAACCAACGCTGTGCAAAGTACGACGACGACGCCCGGACTCACCACGCGCAAGGTCGATGCACTCATTACTCGGCCATCGCGCCCCCGGTACTCCGCCCATTGTCCTGGTATAACCGATCATAGGTGCCGCAACTTGGAGCACAGGCTCGCAGCGTCACCCTTTCGGGTATTGCACCTACCAAATACGGCTGCGGTATTTTGGTGACTCCAGCTACTATAATGCCAAATGCTGTCAGGTTGCCGAGTTTCGTTTTTATCCGCGCCAGATGCAAAAGACTAAACCACTTTGATGAGAGTTGCTACACATTACCCGGTGGGACTAGTTGTCCCTAGTTAAGTATGTTTAATATAAAGTGTTGAATCCTTCCCATTTTCCTATGATTACTATGTTGAGGGTTGCGTCATAACTACGTTATCAGATACTCCCTCCCCATCGCGCTACTTTGATAACGAATTTGACGAGAACGGAGTTGCACTGAAAGTTACGTGGCGGCGATAACTATACAAGCAGGGACGATTTCCGGTTCCAGTCGGGGCTTTTCACCTCATGTGCTTTGTCACCGCCTGACATTGTCCCCTCCGTCATTTTACAGTCCTGACGAACTAATCTGAGCGTAAAAAAGGTCCCAGGCCCTGCAATCATCGCCTCCCAATTCGAAGTCACCGTTCGGTCATGGTCGCCACCCTAACACTTCCAAAGGCATCGGCCCACCCACCCTGAGGTCTTCATACCCGGCCACGGACCAGAGAATCGTCGCAATAGCGTACCACCCACATCCACGAACCTGTCAGCCCATCCTGCCATCCGTCATTTCCTTGTCAACACAGGTCGCGGCGCTGTCGCAATGATGTACCACCCAGATCCTCAATCCTGTCAGCCCATCCCGTCAGCCCCTCATCAAACTCCCAGTCACGGTCCTGCACCAGTGACGTCCGATCCCCAGCGCCAAACACCTTTTTATTCAACACCAGCGAGTGCACTGCCCAAATTAGCGCTGACGGGCCATGACGCAACCAGGATCCGAACCCGGGCCCCCGCGCGGGACTCCGACACGCTAACCACTCGGCCATTACATCCTCTCCAAACCCAGTGACTTCGGCCCACCTTAAGGTCCTGGTCCTGCGGGGCACCCCACAGGTTCGGGCCGAGGAACGCAGCCTGCGCGTCCAGACTCGCCCACGGGTCGTCATCCTTCTTATCCTTGTTATCTGCCGGAAGAAAAACAAGGGTCAGTACTCCACGCGGCAGGCACAGGGCGACTCGAGCCGGGCAGCACCGCTTGGAGTCCGTGGGAACATCCACAGAAAGAGCGGCCGGTCCTCCCTCGACAGCCGGGACGAATGTAGTCTCGCGGCCCAAATCGTACTAAAAAACAAACAAACACGATGGCGCCGCTGCGCCACGTTCGCAGCCGTTCGGCGTTGAACGCTGACCCCGCCGCCGAGACCCGAGCCATCTCGGCGCTCGAACGGCAGGCCGAGCCGGCGACTTCCTTCTGGGAACGCCACAGCGGGGCGCGCTCGATCCGCGCGAGGGGCTTCAACGGGGGAACGCCGCGCTGACGGAGACTGCGCGAGGCTCATGGCGCGCACAGCGCACCAAGGCAGTTTACGTAACGTACTGATCGGGGGGGGGGGGGAGGAGGGGGGACTCTGGTCTCTCATTGAGATCGCTGCAGCAGTGCCGCGTGAGAGCGAGTTGGGTGTTAAGATCAGGGGACGGCCGGACGGCTAGGTGGGTGGGCGGAACCGCGACCAGTGGGAGGCGGTTAGAGGGGAAGAGGCGGAGCGTCGTGTCGATATGATAGGATGGGACGGGTGGCGGCCTTAAAAACACATTCATAATTTGAAGGAGGTACGAACATATTGCATAAAAGATGCAGGTATCAAGTATTGATCAAACTACATAAAACAGTAGTAATAGCTTTATTCCTTGGAGAGAAAAAAATAGGAGAATGGAGATATAGATGGGTTGATATTTCGGCAACATGCCTTTAGCGAATCATTAGCAGAAATAAATTCAAAATTGCCAGCCGATGATCTTATTACTCAACATCACTCTATTGAGTCGATTGCTACTGTCTTATCTATATGAGTAATTCTCCACGCAAACGCACTGAACAACTTACGTAATGTTGCTCAAACTAATCTAACCCGTTTCTTACGTTGATCCAGAAGAACGTTGTTCGCTTTTCATATTAAATGGCATCATCTCATTCGTGTTTAATAGAACGGCTGTTATTTTCTAAGTGCTCAGCAGGTGTCGCTACATCACCACGGCGACATCTACGCCATTGTTCATTCTCCACTGAAAAGGACGACACAGCTCTTCGTCAGGATACGCCTCACGGCAATGCAGGACGCAATGAAAGCAGAACCATGCATGCCAAGTACACAATGTATTTTGTGGTTTGTTGCGGCGCAAACTGGGACAAGACTGGTAATAAGATTGCGACACACGCATCGTTTTTTGCGCTGCTCGCTTTTATACGCAAATCGGTACATGCGCACAAGCCCTGAAGGCAGGCAAATTTCGATCCTGCAATAGTCGCGGACACTGGGTTTCCGCGGTCTGCGCGCTCGAACAGCAACAGCGGACCAGAGACCAGGCCGTCTGACGGTCCGGATCCCCTTATGGAGCTCCACGCCGTCAGGCCGCTTGGTCTCGGGCCTCTCCCTGTTGTTCCCCTACCCTCCCCTCCCCCCCCCCCCCCCCGTTGGCGCAGAGCAGCACCTCCCGGCTCGGCGCACCCTTCTGCATCATCTTCCGCGCGTCGTCCGACCGTCCCATATATCTTCCAAGGGAGGAGGCTAAGCTTCTTCTGGTCACGGGTGTTTCCCGGTCCCGGTACCGGTGCAGCTCGGTCGTGACAGACTCCAAGTCGCGCGCGCGCCAGCCGCTGGCACCGGACATACCCACGGCGCCGGCTCGTTGGCGCCATCCAGCGGCGGCTGGCGGCGCGCCTCCGGCTGGCACAGCCATCTTCAGCGGCTGCCGATGGCCCGCACAGGGACGAGTACCCGAGCGGCGAGGGGCACAGCAGGCCCGGGCGGAGGCCGTATTGATCACCGGCCGGCGCCGCACCGCAGCGTCCACCTTCGGACAGGTACCCGTCGCACTTGACGAACGCGTGGCTCCCGGCGGCGCGGCTGCCTCGGCGTTGCCAGCCGGAGCGGACCGGCGCCCGGAAGGCGGCAGCGGCGCGGCCAGACCACCGCCACGGCTCGGCCGGCGCCCCGCCGCGGATGATGCAACCCGGTCGGCGGCTACGGCGGCCCGTCCGTCACACCGCAGCCCCCGCCGCCGCGAGCGTCGCCGCCCGTCATCGCGCTGCATTAGTTGGTCAAGGCTCTACGTCAGGTACGGCGCTCCAGCCGGACGCGGTGCAGTGCGGGGCAGCTGCCAAAAGTGCGGGGCCGACTGCAGCGATTTGTGAGAAATAACGCGGGCTGATTACGTGACGTAAGGGATGAGAAGACCGCTGGCCGGTCATATCCTGCGGTAAAATGCCTTAAAGGGAGAGTCGCACCTTTGGGGTATATTTCCAAAACATATTCCGATAAAACCTCAGGTCCATTTAGTCTAACCCTAGCACTGGGTAGTGCCACTGCAACACCACCAGGATACAATCAGGGGATACATTTTAATTATGTTCGGTCTCAACAACTGCAGTTATCGAGACCGTCGTCGTCATGACAACCACCGTCATGACGATGGTAGAATCAGCCGAGGGCTGAGTTGTCAACTGTTATGGGTTAGAGGTGCCACTTTTGAGCTGTTTTAAACTGCACATCGCGAGCCTGCGGCTTAAAACTGGCACCTCTTCTGAACGTTGGTACAAGTGAACGTTTGTCATTGGCATAGCGGGAGGAAAGGGCCATGGGCTTAGTATCATAGCCACAGGCCGACGACACGCAGCCAATGGAGACTGCAACCCTGGACGGTCGGCCTGTTGTTGCTATGACTTGCGAGCGCCTATATTTAAAACTATATTGCATAGTTTCTATCAGTAAACAATTCTGACTGAATCTTAAACATCTTAAGACGAACATGGATTAGCCATGTTAATGCAAGCTTAGGACCCCATTTCATCCGCAATCTACGTTCAGGGATTCCTCAATATCTCTGAAGAAAACGGAGCAACACGAAACTGCAGCCTGTGTGACAATTATTGGACCAACTTTGGCGATCAGGGATGCTCTTGGGTCAGTGAGGGTTCCTGTGCTGATCCGGGGCTTACTGCGTGGATGAGAGGGCTTCCCGTGTCAGGGAGGGGGAAGTGTGATATGATATATCCTTCCAATGGCCTCCGGATCGACCAGGAGATCCCGCCCCGTGTCGATAGCATGACAGCCAGAAGACGCTTCGCGATGGGAGGGAGTGAACCCTCAGCTCTTGACCGGAGCCGGTAATGTGCCCTTGGTGTTCTACTCGAGGGGCCCCCTACCCGGAAGGAAATAAGGGGCCTCATTATTGCTGAGTAGAGTGGAGGTCTCATTATTGCTGAGTAGAGTACGTCGAAATGATTTTAAAAAAAGGAATAAGGCCATCTCATGCTTGCTTAAGAAGTTTTTTTCAGAACGGATCAGTGAAAAAAGCATCAAAAAGTTTGAACATGCCCGCCCGCAACCTCAAGAGCAAGGACAGCGATGGTCTGGGTTCCAGCTTCTGTAAAACCGAACGGCTTCGGCCACTGCAAGAGCCATCAGACGGCGGGCGCCGTGTTAGTCTGTCTTCTGGACAAATAGTCACAGAAACACGAAAAATAGAGAATCTGCCTTTGCTCTTCCCGATCCACCACCAGATTCCGGCACCACTTCGCGGCGAATTAAGGGCCCATCCAGCCTTATCATTAGTTTAAAAATCGCACACTTAAAATATGCGTCCAGACTGCCTTGTGGATGTAAGATTTGATGTCCTGAAGCGTTCAAAGGTACTTCTTTCAGAAGCGTCACCATTTTCGTCCACCCAGTGGCCACGGCTCAATATAAGCTGTTAAACCGACATTGCGTGGCCTACGGGGACTGCAACGCCTGGGGTCGAGGTTGTAACTATGATTTGTGAGTACGCATGCTCAAAATTATGTCACATAACTTGTATTACTAACCGATTCAAATTTTTAAAGGTAATATTTTCAGAACCGTTATCATTTTCGTTCACCGGTGGACCATGACGAAAAAACACTGAGGTTAACCACTCGAAATTCTGAGCTGTTCAGAAGGATTTCGAGAACACTGGCATTACCGACCCACTCAAAGCGGAAGCGTCTGATCTAGCAATGCGTGAAAAGTGAAAAGAAAGTAGCATACTCCCTTTAAAAGATTATGCTTCATTCATACACAAGACTTCTGGACTGATACAACATGAGCCTGGCTTAACGTTTTTGTCTTCTGTTCTCTCTATGCACTGAAATCATTCATACCTGGCTGAATTTTCACACGCTGGCCCTGGAGTCGACTACAGGGTTGTTTCAAAGGTCACTGACCGGCCGCTGTAGACTGTGCGATGTGTTATGAGAAAGGGCCGGATAAAGCAATATTACAAACTGGTAGCTGATTTGTTTTATCCCGTTTCATGCGGTGCATTTCATTTGCATAAGCCCTGGGGGGGGGGGGGGGGGGGCAGAATTCGTGGCATAGATTCTGACTAGCGAGCGCCCCAACGGAAGACTGCGGTCGACCCATCATGCCCTTCATCCCCATTTTCCGGATCAGTTCCAGTCTCCTCCTGCAATCTCTGTATTTCTGCACTTCGGACTAAACGCATGGCCGACATGGTCCCACGGCATGTCACATGAGCTAAGATATTACTGGACCTTCGCACATAAATCAACGCTGGGTCACCATATCACACCGTCCCCTTCATCTGCCCACGGCAATCCAAAATCTCCGATGTGCAAGGCGAATGGATATATTTTCCTATGATACATCTGACAGGAATGAAAACTCATCTTCAGTCCATCGCCTCTCTGCAGGTAACCAGCTATCCACAACGGCCGCTTCATTACTCCCACCAGCTGTGACGGCCGGCCCATCAACAGGCAGAAGTGACGAATGGCGTGTCAGGTATGTGCGTGTGTGACGCACCACCACTGCCTGACTGTGGCGACACACGTTGTGGCGACATGTCTGTGGCGGTGGCGCCGCAAAGTCCAACGATGATTCTGCCAGCTGTGACGACCGGAACGTCACCATCCGACAGGTTGTTA